ATGCTGACCTTCTTTGCCCTGTCGGCTGAGCTCGATGACTGACTTGTCCAGGCACAAGTAGCGATGGATGTGGGCTGCAGCCTGCTCATAGTCTTCATTCCTCAGAGCAGTCTGAACACCATCCATGCAGAACTTCAGGTCCAGGATATCATCAGCTCTCTGAATAGCTTGATAGAGGCGGTTCTGCAAAAAGACTTGGTGCTCAGAAACAATGTTCTATTCTTTAAAAAACATCTCTTCAGAAGGCAGGGAGATTAAGGTTAACCATGTCCTTTGCAGCCCTCACTGGCCAAACTAAAAAACACCACCACTCACAAAACTGGTGTTAATGACCAGGACCCCTGACAAGTATCATGCAACTGAATTTATGTGACCAGATCATTCAACTAATGGAAAAACAGGGAGTATCTATATTTATATTGGGCTTACAATGTTAAATTCATAACAGAATCAGAACGTATTTAACATTTTATTTATAAACATTTTTTTTTGAGTTCTGGTTCAGAAAGAATTCAGAGCTCAAAGACTCAAACTGTAACAAAAGTTTATTTAGCTCTGGCTGGTGTAGCTCAGTGGATTGAGCGTGGGCCTGCGAACCAAAGGATCGCGTTTCGACTCCCAGTCAGGGCACATGCCTGGGCTGCAGGCCAGTTCCTGGCAGGGGATGCACCAGAAGCAACCATACATTGATGTTTCTCTCCCTCTCTCCTTCCCTTCCCCTCTAAAGATAAATAAATATAAATAAAATCTTTTTTAAAAAGTGTATTGAGATATCACAGAGGTAGAAGAAATGGGCTTAGAAAACAACTTAGAGGCAAAAGAAGCTTAGTAGAGAGAAGGGTAAAGGTACCGCACCTGGGGCAGGAAAGCGGGATGGAAGAGGCGTGGGCACGCTCCCTCGAGGGAGAGCTCCTGTACTGGACATTTTGGGAATGTGACATTGTAAACCAAGTTGAGAGACAAATGAAATGACTGGAAAGTACTTTTCTAACGAGCAAGAATGTTTAAAAGAAACCTTTAATGTGTGAGTTTGTGGTTGTGTTGCTTAGTTTTGTGGTTATTTTTGTAGAATCTGAACAAACAGATCAGGAAAAGTTATGCTATTTCACAGGGCAAACGAAAGCAGGGCCTGACTTCTTTGAGTCCAGACTTTGTGCTATTCTGTTTGGCATGGTAGCCACTAACCACATGTGGCTACTGAAAACTTGAAATGTGGCTAGCCTAAATTAAGGTGTGTATTCATAAAATGCACATGGGATTTCAAAGATTTAGTGCAAAAATGAAGATAAAATATCTCAATAACATCATTTTGTAGTAACTACAAATTTAAATGACCTTGTAGACAATGAGTTAAATAAAGCATATTTAAAAATTATTTTCATGTATTTAACTTTGAAAAAAATGCCTACTAGAAAATTTAAAAGTACATTTGTTGTTGGTATTAAATATCTTCCAATCTGAATGATTTTTATTTCATTTTCTTGCCTCATAGACCTGGCTAGAACCTCCAGTAAGATGATGAAGAGAAGCAGCAAGAACTGACATCCTTCTTTTGTTCCTAATCTCAGTGGGAAACCAACCAGTATTTTAGGAGTAAATATGATGCTTTCTGTGGGTTTTTCATAGATGCCCCTTATCAGGTTGAGGAAGTTCCTTTCTATTTCACATTTTTTAAGTGTTTTTGTAAAGGGCATTAAATTTTGTAAATTACTTTTTTGAGTCTGAGATGATCATATGGTTTTTCTGCTTTATTCTACTGACATGGTACCTTAATTTTCATATGTGAAACCAACTCTGCATTCCTAGGATAAATCCCACTTGCTCATAGTATAGTCTTTTTGTGCTGCTGGATTTGGTTTGTTAGTGTTGAAAATTTCTATGTCTATATTCATAACAGCAGTTGGTTTAGAGTTTTCTTATGATACCTTTGTCTGATTTTGGTATCTTGTGTTAGATTTCTATTGGATGTTGCTGCTCTATTTTCTAATGTGGTGGCTTTTCTACTGCCCTTTTAACCCAAACATCAACACCATAACGGGATTACCTTGGCCAGGTCAAGCTGACGAACTTTGCTGGACACATTCTCAGCTAGGCTGCAGGTAAAGGTGATCATTCCAGCTAGCTGCTTTGCATCACCTTCAATCAACTGCAGGTTGGGACTAGAGATACACATTGTCAGCACACAAAGGTCCATAGCAGCAGAGGGTAGGACTAAGAGATGAAAGTGTTTTTGCAGATGGAGACTATGTCTTCTACTTCTTTTGTACCTCCCCAAATTCTTAGCTTAAATCACTCTATTAACAGCTTTTCTTCCCTAAGAGTGTTTTACTGTAAACTCAGGCCTAATGCTTAATAAGAAATTAATTTCTATAAGTTCTAATGACACTGCTAAATAGGTACTGCCAAAGAATTAGAGAACAGACTCTCCAAATTGTTTCCCTCCCAAATGTTAAGTGAGCAAAAGATGCACTAACCAACAATCTGAGAGGATGATGAGAACATAGAGCAATTTTTATGACTGGCAAATATACAAAATTTGTAAAAACAGTGGTTCTCAAACTTGAGCCATGCACCAGAACCTCTTGGTATGCTTGTTAAAATACAGATTCCTGAGAACCATCCCCAGAGTTTCTGCTTTGGTAGGTTTGGGCGTGGCCCTAGAATTTGCATTTTAACAAGTTTCCAGGTAGTGTGAGTAATGCTGATACTGCTAGTCAAGGTCACTTAGAAAACTACTAAACTGTTCCCTTAGGTGTCCACTTTGCCTTGAGGTAATGCTCCCTTATGTTTCACACTCAACTGGCATTTTGTAACAGAAGGTAAGGGAAAATAACTTATCCAGTGGACAGTGTTGCAATTTCTAATAGCTCTTGCTGAGATGAATGGACTCACCCCATTCGATGCAGAGTGACCATTTTACTTTCAACAGTGTTTTGCTGTTCCAAAAGTGCATCCAACTCTCTCTCCACCACTTTCTGAAACACAAAGAAACATCCCATCATCAGAATGCTCAGAGGAACTTTTTCTGCACTTATCACACTATATAATCACTATATGTATCTTATTTCATCTAGCAGAACACCACAAAGAATACAAACCTTTATTCAATACCATAAGCACAGTGCCTAACACAGGAATGCCTTTATAATATAAAGACTAAACAAAGGAAACTTCCAAAGTGGCAGTTACACAAAGTTTCTCCATAGTATATAATTCTCTCTGAGCCAGGCCACTTACTGCCTGACCTCAGTTAATGTAACCTTCTAATGCTTGTGTTTTTTCACCTGTAGAGTAGGGATAGTAACAGATACTAGGACTGTTGTGTGAGCCAAACAAGATAAAAAAGTGCTTAATATAGTATGACTTATGGTTCAATAACAGCCACTAATATCAGCTATACATTTTTATTAAAATAGTCCAGTAGGGTCCAGATGGAAACTTCACTTGACAGTTTTCAAATACAAATACAGAACTAATATTGCTCTGTCTGTAAGACTCACTTAATTTCCCCCCAAAGTATCGACAGACCCAATGAATGCAAGCTTAGGAATGTTCAGTCAAGAGTATTGAATTTTATAAAGCACATCTTGCTGACAAACATTATCAAGTTATGATATGATGAAGTTAATACTTGAAAATATTCAAAGATGTCAATGATCCCCTCTTCCCCAGGCTGAAACTGCCTTTTGTGCTTTACCTTATTTAAATGTTTGGTTCTAGGAAACAGATACTAAATTTCTAGATCAGGGATTAGCTCTCTTTCTTTTGACTGGCAGGGAAGCCAGCTGACATTAAAAAAATGTATCGACACAATCGGGTTGCCACGGAAAAGTGAAGGAGGCAAAAAGGAGATAAAACGTTAGATGCTGAAAGGAATCCTGGCGAGAACAAAGTCCACGCCCCTCATCTGACACAATGGCAGGGGTACAAGAGATGAAGTGATTTGTCCAAGATTAGGCAGTTGTGCCTGCGTCTTAAAACCTCAAGCTTCTACAAAACTCTACAAAACTTCTACCAAAAAACCCTCAAGCTTTTACAAAACTCTACAAAACTTCTATCTATAAAGGTGAAACGCTAAAATTATACCCCCAAATCATTCCCTACAAGAGGAAGTTTTAAGCCGCTTCACCTTTATTTGCAATGACTAGTGGTTAAATGAGATAACTGAAAGCATTCCAGTTTTTAAACTGCTAAGCCAATGCAAGAGAGCCTTTATTCTTAATTTAAGAACCAGAAGAATTGCTTTATACTCTCAATTTACCTTTACTCCCCCTGAGAATTGGAGACACCAAATAAATCGTTAAGAGCAAGAGAAATTAACGGGGTCGGGGGGCGCATCAACCACACAACAGGGAAAACAAGCTTGGAAGCATCATATAGGGTAAAGAGGGTTGGCAGGTCCCCAAAACCACACTCAACTACACTCCTGCTTCTCAAGTAGGTGCTTTTTATTTCCCTCGGCTGGGAGAGAGCTTCCCACAGCGCGGATTTCCGTGCTGGCGGCTCCTACGCCCACTGCCTCTGGATGCTTCTGCAAAAAAAAAAAAAGAAAAAAAGCTCAGCCCTCCCACCTCCTCGCCGCAGAGCCGTTCGTACACAGCCTCCAGCTCCTGCAGCTCCGTCAGGGAGCGAATGAGCTCGGTGGAGATTTCGGAGCAGCGGCCTCCACCTGTCCCCTCCGGCGGCGGAGGCATCCCTAACTGCTTTTGAGGGGAATTGAGATCCGCCATGTCGGTTCCCACTCTGTGTTTCCGGCCCCGCGAGGCCCCCTCCCCGGTGGCGTGCGGGCCGGTGGGGCTGCCCACGAAAGTGCCAGATGAACTCAATTTTTAAATATGTACTTTAAAAAGTCTACTCATTTTCTGTTCTTGTAGAAAAAGCGACGGTCATTAGGTATGTTTAAATAATTTCCAATGCGAGGTGATCGTAAGACCGACACATTAAAAAATTGTATATACATTCTTTGGGCGCCGGTTGGGGCCTTTTCCGCCGCGCGCCAACCAGAAAGTCCCCAGCTTGAGGTCTGATGGCTTATGCCGGCAGGTTGGTGTTGGCGGTGGTTTAGACCTTGGGTGATCTCTGCATCCGTTGGATATCTACACCATCCTCCTGGCTGCAGGGTAAACAAGCGGACCTTCCGATTTCCCCCGGCCCGTAGTGGCGTAGAACTACCATATAGGACTGTGCACGGGATCGTTACTGGCGGGGTCTCTGAAGCAACCTAGGCCCGAGAGGTCTGGTTAAGAAACGAAGGGGTCGAGGAGAACGTTTGGGGCATGAAAACGGGTACCAGGAATTATTCCCTGTTTTCTGCCTACAAGGTGGCTTAAAATAAGCTTTCAGAGATTGCTTAGTGTTTAGGCCCTGGCGCCTCTACGGACCTGCGGAAGGTCCCTTGGAGATAGTGAACAACACACGGACGCCAAGGTGGAAAAAACAAAAAACGCGGCGTGTTAAAAGCGTAAATAGCTAAGACCCTGTTTTGAGTTTGCGTTTTGGTAGTTTTTCTTCTCTTATCCTCAGTTTTATCATTTGCAAAATGGGCAATACTGCCTTGAAGACTTCGCAGAGTTTAAATGAGATAATCTTCATTTGGCACAGGAGAAGGAATGGCAGGCGTGAACAATCCCAGGCTTTTTCTTACAGTCGAGAAGTGGGGGAAGTGGCAAAATTTACTAGGTTTTGGCAGTTGATGGTTCCCGGTGCATAGTTTTTAGTCTTAGGCTGATCCGAAATGTATCTTACTCCATTCCCCTAGATAAAAGAATACCTGGAGAATTTGGATCCAGCGAGGTTTGGGAAAAATTAATTCCAAGGATGGGAATGGATGCTGTCAGTTAGTAAAAGAACTTAAAAGTAGGCTGAGTTCTTAAGCCAGAAAGAATGATAGTCTGGAGAGAGCTTTTCTGGCGTTCACAAATAGCCAGTGGTTTCCTCTGCCTTTATAAAGCAAACAATCCTCCACATTTTTTTTTGCCTTTAATATATTAGGTTGCCCAAAAAGTCCAATAATGTTTTTTTTCTGCAAGATGGCTCTAGTAGTGCTTACTTGTCTTTAACCTCACTCGAAACAATTTTGTTAGATTGTCCTATTAGTATGCATTAAAAGAACAAAACTAGTGAATATTTGTGCAGGCATTTTAATATTGAAGATATACAGGCATTTTTGGTGTGTTATGCTTTATTATGTCAAAGGTAGAAACTGAACTGAAATGCAAGAAGAGATTTATACGGTGTGTGGAGAAGGTGCTGTGACTGATCAAATGTGTCAAAAGTGGTTTGCAAGTTTCTTGTACTATTGATATTTTGGCCAAATAATGCTTTGCTTTGGGGCTGTCTAATGTACTGGAAGATGTTTAGCAGCACCCCTGGCCTCCACCACTAGAAGCCAAAAGCAGGAGATAGCCAACACTACTTCAGACATCCTCATCCATAAAGTTATTGGTGAAAATGAAAAATGTGTCTTTTATGGGAAAAGAACTGTATGGACTCTTGCCAGCCCAATAGTTAATTTTACAATGTGGGTCAAGTTAACAACAGTATAGGGGTTTCATTATAAATTGTGTTGTTAATACCTGCAACTTTGAAATCATGTTTGAAAATTTAAACCAGAGCAAAATGCCAGGGTACGGATGTTTTAGTGTGTTTAAGAATTATGTTTGCTGCTTTTCAGTTGAGAGCAGTTACAACACACTCTCTGTGTTGGCCCCTCCTGACTTGAAGTTGAGCACAGCTTTCCTTGGACCTTTCCTGGTGTCTAAACCCTCTCTATGTGTGTTTTCTCTTTCTCGTAGGTCATTTCCCTCTCTTCCTTGTTTAACCTCAGACCTCCTCTTTCCCTGTCATCCAAGAAGAACATTAAACATGTTCCTCAGTTTCAAGTAGGAAGGTTCATATCCATTTCCAACCTGGAGGATTGGTCTTTTTCTCTGTCGTCCTGCCCAGAAATGATTATTATGTATAGAATATTTACTTTTCTTGACTTAAAATAAATTTATATGTTAATCATACAGTGATTGCTTGGATTTTTCAGGTTCCCTTGCTTCATCTCTAAATAATTGAGGTAAAATAACTCAGTTTATTTCCCAGCTATATATAGGTGTAGTTTGGGGTAATTCTTTTATGATAGAGGAAAGTTTGTGGTCTTAAGTCCTTATGATGAAAAGAAATGTTTTCTGTGACTACTCCTTTGGGCGGGGGGCTTCTGAAGTGGCAGGAATTCAGTTTTGTTTTCGTTTTTAATGATGAGTAGGTATAAATTTTTAATTATAATCAGATACAGAGCTACAGAAGAGATGCAGATGATCACTTCTCAGCTTTTTGGCTAAGATCAAGTGTAGAAGAGATGCAAATGAGAACTACGCCAAGTTACCAGTTTTTATCTGTTTGATGAGCAGAGATCTGGTTGTGGTGAAATAGGGACTCTTACATTGTTGGGGGTGTAGGTTGTTGAGTTTCTTTGAAAGGTAAGTTGGCACTACTTATCAGAATTTCAGTTGTGTGAATCCCTTAATCCATAATTACACTTTTATGAATTATGGAGCTGTAGTCATGCACGTACGCATGACCTATATATGAGTGATTTTCTTTGCAGCAGGGTTCATAATAACAAGATTGGGAACAACCCAAATGTTCATCAGTAGAGTGTTGGCAAAATGAATTCTGATATATTCATTCAGTGGAATACTCTGTGGGTATAAATTAAAAATGAGAAAGCCCTCCATTGCTGTCTCCAAGCTGGATAAAATAAAAAATAAGTTGCAGTATAATGTGAGTGTACAATACATAAGATTCAACCTTTACTTTTAAAAAAGGAGATAAAATACAGTATTGTACATTTTTGTTTATCCATACAGAAAATATCTGGAAGGACCGGATAGATGGAGTTTTTGGCTGAGCTTTTGAATTCTGAACCTTGGGAACACATAGCCTATGCAAATACAAGTACAAATAGACCTACTTAGCTTACATGACAAAGCAAATAGTGTTGCATTAATGGTCCAGATCCTAGCTCCCAGCATTTTTACCACCTGCTACTGTGACCTCAGACACGTGTTTTAATTTCTTAGCCTTAATTTCTTCATTTATAAAATGAATTTTAGTATTAACTATAGGTTTCTTGTGAGAATAGAGCCAAAATGTATGTAGTGCCTGGCATGTAGAAGTCACTCTAAACATGTTGTACCTCAAAGGCCTTACTCTGTCTGCTGCCTTGAGCTAGAAATTCCTATACAGAAATGTCTATTGAAACAACAGTTTTCCAGCTGATATTTTTCTGCTTTTATGTGTTTGTTCTTAGCTTGCTTTGACTCGGTATAATCAGTGCTTGGATTGTGCAGTGGTAGGTGGCTTACTGTTGCCACAATGTTCCTATACAACTTGACCTTGCAGCGAGCCACAGGTATCAGCTTTGCCATTCATGGCAACTTCTCTGGTAAGTTGTCCAGTTACCATCTTTTCTAAATATAACTTAAAAAAAGATTTTATTTACTTTTAGAGAGGGGGGCAGGGAGGAAAAAAGGGAGAGAAAAATCAACGAGAGAAACATCTGTTGGTTGCTCCTTGTATGCACCCTGACCAGGGACTGGACTGGCAGCCTAGGCATGTGCCCTGACTGGGAATTGAACCAGCGACCCTTCACTTTGCATGACGTTGCCCAGCCAACAGAACTACATGGGTCAGGGCTGAATATAACATGAATATAACATTTTGAATATTACTAGTTTTATGCTTTATATTTTTTCAAAATAAAAAATTTGAAACTTACAGGAAGAATTCTAATCATTAGAGAACACTAATTTCTATAATGCTTTGTAAAGTTTCCAAAGCATTTTGGAGCAGTTGGTTTTATCTAATACCCAAATGACCTTTGAAAAGTAAGGTGGCCTGGTAAATGGTGGCATTGAGCAAATGAGCCTGGGTTGGGATGAGTGAGAGTGGAATATAAGGTAGGGTAGGAAACCATTAAGACAGTGAAGACCGGACAGTCAGGGTAGAACAGAGTGAAGGGTATGAGTTTCCAACCTAGGAGGCAGGGGAAATGACAGTAATATTGATGGCAGGCTTGTTGAGATCGGAGTGGGATTTGGGGCAAGGAGGAACTTAGTAGTTTTAAACATTTGTTTTAAAGTTGATGACAACTTATCCAGGTAGAATTACGTAGATGGGGACAAGCTGATTATTATGCATTTGGAGGTATCAATTGCAGTTGAACTTTTGAAAGCAAGTGAATTTTTTTAGGTCTCAGTTTAGAGATAAACAGTGTATTTCAGATAGCTTTAAAAGTTCTTTTGAGACACTACATCAAACTGCACAAAATGTTAATATGATTTCTTAACCACAATAGCCTTAAAAGTGGATTAGAAAGAACCCTTGGGGATTTTTTATCTTATGACACTAAGCATGCATTAATACTATTTATGGACAGTGCTCAATTATATAGACTGATGGCAAATGTTGACAGAATAAAAAGTTTCTAAGAAAGTAACTTGTATAATTTGTATAAGTAATTAATGTGTGGTCACCTCTCTCAGTCCCCAGCCGGGAACAGGTTCCTTCAATCCAGACATGTGCCCTGACTCGGAATCAAACTTGTGACCCCCTGGTTCACAGGCTGGCACTTAGTCCACTGAGCCACACCAGCCAGGGTGTATAACCAATTTTTTAAAAACTTATTTGATACCACTTTTGTTAGATCATTTTAGTTCAGTGCCTTTTCAAATAGAATAAATTAACTTAAAATATGGAGCCCCCAACCCATTTAATTACCTCTGTCTTTTAGTGGAATGACTTATCCAGGTTACTTTTTAGATTAGTTCTGATTTCTCATAATCTTTGTTTTTTGGTAATCTAGGAACCAAACAACAGGAAATTGTTGTTTCTCGTGGGAAGATCTTGGAGCTCCTTCGCCCGGATCCCAATACTGGCAAAGTACACACTCTGCTAACTGTGGAAGTATTTGGTGTTATTCGGTCTCTCATGGCCTTTAGGCTGACAGGTGGCACCAAAGACTACATTGTGGTTGGCAGTGATTCAGGTCGAATTGTTATCCTGGAATACCAGCCATCTAAGAATATGTTTGAGAAAATACACCAAGAAACCTTTGGCAAGAGTGGATGCCGCCGTATTGTTCCTGGCCAGTTCCTAGCTGTGGACCCCAAAGGACGAGCAGTTATGATTAGTGAGTGCTTCTCTGATTGTTGTAGATGCTCAGTGTAGGATAATAATGCTATGATCTGGGAAGTGTGCTAACAAATCATGACTGGGTAGAGCTTGGAACGTACATGGATTATTAAAGTTGTTTTTCCTTTTAAAACAATGGAAAGTCTTAACATACCTTATCTACTTCTTGTCTACTTGGAAGTAGATTTTTTTTTGTTTCTTTATCTTTAAGCAAAAAGACTGCAATGGGATGATTTTATCTTATTAGACAATGAATATGGTTGCTTTCATCAGCCTGAAGTGATGATTCACATTCATGTCTCTTCTCTGACAAAGCTCTTGAAGAAAATTTTGTGTATCTGATCGGGCCTCTAGAGGGCAGCCCTCTTTGACCAGTCACAAAATCACTAGATCTAATTGAAAAAGAAAGCTGGCAATTTTATGAATTATTGTTTAGTTTCCCGGTATCATTAAATCTAGGGCACACTAAGAAATTTTGAAGTTATTAGGATAGTATGATCTTTCCTGGAAAGAAAGTGGGTAAAATGATGCTGTTGTCTATTTTAATGATAGAAAGCAAATCTAAATATACTCGTAGAGTTCGGGCTGGTTCTTAAGGGTTTTCAAAAATAATTGTGATGAGAATCTAGCTGCTCTTTAAGCTCCTCAATTCATTGTCTGGAAATCTTGTGTGTTTTGTCTCCTTCAACTCAGGTGCCATTGAGAAGCAGAAATTGGTGTATATCTTGAACAGAGATGCTGCCGCCCGGCTTACCATCTCATCTCCCCTGGAGGCCCACAAAGCAAACACTTTAGTATACCATGTGGTTGGTGTAGACGTGGGATTTGAAAATCCAATGTTTGCTTGTCTAGAAATGGATTACGAGGTAATGGGGAGTGTGGGTGAGGGGATCTGTTTCTTTCTCGCCTTTTTATTTTTCTAGTCCACCTCAGAGCTTTCCTAGGGTTATTTTCTTCATTGTTTGAATCTCACATATGTGCTAACAAGTCTTTTCCACATTCCAAGTGCCTTACTAAAATTTGGAATGTTTCAGAGCTTACCTGACTATATAATAGCACTTTTATCTAATTTGAACAATCTCCCTGTGGAAACAGGGTATTTATTGAGAAAAGCTGCCTGAGGTAAAGGAGGTAAAACCGTATTTAGGATATTTTTTTTCATAGGGAGATAATAAAAGGTGGAGCATACCATTCTTTTCCTTGAGTGGAAGGAAAAGATGAGAGAACCTTGATTCCAGAATAGGGAGACCTGGGTTCTCATTCTAGCTTTAACACCACCTAGTAGTGGGAACTTTGGCAAGCCATGTGGCATCTGTGGACCTCTGCTGCTTCATTTGTAAAGTGGATGAATCCTGATGTCCTTTCCAGCTCTAAAAGTTTGATTTTATGCTACTGATTACTCTTTGTACCATTGTACTTCTCTGTAGGAAGCAGACAATGACCCAACAGGGGAAGCAGCAGCTAATACCCAGCAGACGCTTACTTTCTATGAATTAGACCTTGGTTTAAATCATGTGGTGCGAAAATACAGTGAACCTTTGGAGGAACATGGCAATTTCCTTATTACAGGTACTTTTCTCTTAGACTTGCTCTGTACCATTTTGCCTGGTCCATTTTATGCCCGAACTTGGGAGGGTTTACTTAATAGGGCCTGGAAGCTAATTTATTTATAGTAAACCTGAGTGCCTTTTCTGTATTTTGTCGAGGTTAGAAGTTTATGTGATGGTTAATTTACCCTCTAATGGGGGCAGAGAAGAAAGAATGAGAGTATTTGGCTAGGATTGTTTTTTAAGATTTTATTTATTTCTTTTTAGAGGAGAGAGAAAGAGGAAGAGAAACATAAATGTGCATGAGATACATTGATTGGTTGACTCTTGCACGCTCCCAATTGGGAACCTGGCCCACAACATAGGCATGTGCTCTGACTGGGAATCAAACCAGTGAACTTTCATTTTACTGGCTGGCACTCAGTCCACTGAGCCACACCAGCCAGGGCTCAATGTGGAATATTGATTGCTCTTGGTCACTGATATTTTGACTGTAGTTAATCTTTAACTCTCATTGAGAAAATAAAAACCTAGGTTTTTGAAAAGACAAACCCAGCAAGATAAACTAAATTTAAAAACTTAGATGAATTGGAAATGCTTTTGAAAACTTACTTGATCCAAGAAGAAATTAAGAGCCTATATAGACCTAAGAAATTGGAATAATAGTCAAAAATCTTTCCTCCAAAAGACTTATGGTCCCAGCATTTTCAGGGACCTTAAATTTCTCCAGAGACTAGAAAAAGAATTAAAACTAATGTACCACTTTATGAACTTATTGTAACTTCAGTGTCAAAACTGGGTAAGGAATGTAGTAAAAGTTTACCTGATTACAAAAGTATACGTGTGATTATAGATACAAAAATCCGTAAGTTTAGCAAATCAAATTGAACGGTTTATTTATTTTTTTAAAAGAATATTTTTAGAGAGAGGAGCAGGGAGGGAGAAAGAGAAGGAGAGAAACATGGATGTGAAAGGAAATATCGGTCGGTTGCTGCTTGTATACACACCTACTGGGGACTGAACCTGCAACCCAGGCATGTGCCCTGGCTGGGGATTGAACCAGTGACCTTTTGCTTTGCAGGATGATGCTCAACCAACTGAGCCACACCAGTCAGGGCAGAACAGCATTTTAAATGCATCATAGCTAAGTAAGATTTTTGTGGAAGCTCAGAAATGTTTACCATTAGAAACTCAGCATCAGTTTAATTCATTAAATTAAAACACTAAATGAGGACAGCTGTATTTGTGGTCATCTAAATTTTGGCAGACTTGGGGAAGACAGTAATCAGTCCTTTCTGTTCTGAGCCATTTGTACTTGGATTGATGTCTAACATGAAATATGTCTGTTGATAGAGGATTTTGGAGAATAATACAACAGCATTTTTCTTAGAGCATTAAATCTTAGGAAGATACTATATTATGTAGAAGAACCTTGGACATACTATCATACCTTTCATTTATGAGGAAGGTTTTATTCTTTCAACAAATGTTTCTTGAGTCCCTACCATCAGTATGTGCAGTGTCAGTCTACTGAATCCTGGGACTACAGTTGTGAAAAATTAGATGCCATGTCTCCCTTTATGCAAGATTGAAGTTAGTGGTGAATATATATAAATAACAAAAAAAATTGTCATTTGCCAAGTGCTGTGACAGTGCAGAGAAGGGGTCTCTTACCCATGGAAAAGAAAGGAATTTGTTGAATGGAAACATATACCTTGTTCATGGATTGGAAGAATTAACATCATCAAAACGTCCATACTACCCAAAGCAATACACAGATTCAATGCAATACCTATTAAAGTACCAGTGGCATATTTCACAGGCATAGAAAAAAACACTTCAAAAATTTATATGGAACCATAAACGACCCAGAATAGCAGCTGCACTTTTGATAAAGAAGAACAAAGTAGGAGGGATCACAATACCTGATATCAAACTGTATTACAAGGCCACTGTAATCAAAACAGCTTGGTACTGGCATAAAAACAGGCACATAGACCAATGGAACAGAACAGAGAGCCCAGAAATCAACCCAACTCTCTACAGTCAATTAATATTCGACAAAGGGGGCAGTAACATAAAATGGAGTAAAGCGACCTCTTCAACAAATGGTGTTGGGAGAACTGGACAGCTGTGTGCAAAAAAATGAAACTTGAGCACAAACTTACACCGTACACCAAAATAAATTCAAGGTGGATAAAAGACTTAAATATAAGCCGTGATGCCACTAAAATCCTAGAGGAGAACATCGGCAAGAGAATCTCAGATATTTCACACAGAAACATTTTTACCGATATGTCCCCTAGAGCAAGGAATATAAAGGAAAGAATAAACAAATGGGATCTCATCAAAATAAAAAGCTTCTGCATGGCTAAAGGAAACAGTATTAAATTAAAAAGGCAACCAACTGTATGGGAAAACATATTTGCCAATGATACCTCACAAAGGTTTAATCTCCAAAATATACAAAGAACTTACACAACTCCACTCTAAGAAGACATCTAACCAAATTAAAAAATGGGAAAAGGACTTGAACAGACACTTCTCCAGGGAGGACATACAGAACATCCAGAGACACGTGAAGAGATGCTCAATATCTTTAGCTATCAGAGAGATGCAAATTAAAACCACAGTGAGATACCACTTTACACTGGTCAGGATGGCCATCATAAACAAAGCAACAAACAACAAATGTTGGAGATGTTGTGGGGAAAAGGGGACCTTAGTTCACTGTTGGTGGGATTGCAGACTGGTACAACCATTATGGAAAACAGTGTGGAATTTTCTCAGAAAACTAAAAATGGACCTGTCTTTTGATCCAGCAATTCCACTGCTAGGATTATATCCCAAGAATCCTAAAACATCAATTTCAAAGAACCTATGCACCACAATGTTCATAGCAGCACAATTTACAATACCCAAGAGTTGGAAGCAACCTAGGTGCCCATCAGTAAATGAATGGATCAAAAAATTGTACATATACAAAATGGAATTCTATGCAGCAGAGAGAAAGAAGGAGCTACTACCCTTTGCAACAACATGGATGGAACTGGAAAGCATTATGCTGAGTGAAATAGGTCAGGTGTTGAAAGACAAATACCATATGATCTCACCTTTAACAGGAAGCTAACCAACAAAACAAACAAGCAAACAGAATAAAAACAAAGACACTGAAGTAGAGAACAAGGGGACAGTGACCAGAGGGGAGAGGGAAGGGAATTTAAGGGGAGGGATTTGGAGGAACAAATATGAAGGACACAGGGACAATAGCTAAGGGGGGTGGAAATGGGAGGGAGGTGGGGAGCATGGGGTGGGGTGGGCTGGGATGGGAAAAATAGACCAAAAAAAAACCTGTACTTGAAAAATAACTAAATAAAATTTTAAAAAATTGTACCTCTTTATACTATAATATCATAAGCAATAAAATATTTAAATTTAAAATTAAAAGAAAGGAATTTGTTGGAGAAACTTTGGAGAAGTGTTCTGTAAGCTGAGATCTGAGGACTAGTTAGTAATTAGTGAGGTGTTGTGGGGATGAAGGAGGATTTTCTGTTATGGACAAAGGAAATAGCATAGGAAAGGTCCGAACGAAATAACAGAATTCATTCAAAGAACTGAAAGCTCATTGTGATTGGATCATTATGCTGAAGTCGGGTAGAGGTAGTGGTGGAGTGGTAGCTACTGAAGGATCTTAAGCAGGGGAATAATAACCTGAAGATTATAGGCATACCTCTGAGATAGTCCAGGGTCAGGCCCAGACCACCCCAGTAAAGCAGATATACAGTAAAGTGAGTCATATAAATGTATTTTTTCAGGGCATACAAAAGTCTTGTTTATACTATGTTTAGTTTACTGAATGCCATGGCATGTCTAAGCAGTGTACGTAACTTAATTAAAAAATACTTTATTGCTCAAAAAAACTTTATCGTTACAAAATGACCATTATCCGAGCCTTCTGACAAGTTGTAATCTCTTTGCAGTGGAGGGTCTTGCTTTATGTTGATGAAAGCACGGTATCTGCAAAGTGCAATAAAATGAAGCATGCCTGTACTTGCTTAAATTTTAGCTAGTGGAATGAGGGATATGAAGACTGGTCAGGAAGGCTGTTTCTCTAAATCCAGAGATTGATAGCATGCATGCTGCTAAGGAGGTAGAATAAATAGGGCTTTGTGAGGGGAGAGTGGGCTTGGTCTTTTTTATTGGTGGTATTGTCCAAGATACGGAATCCAGGAGGTAGATAGGTTTGGGAAGGAACTTGAGGTTGTGAACACATTGCATTTTGAAGGTGCTATAATCCAATCACATGGTGGAATATCCATGTGATTGGATTTTGGGTATGAAGCTGAGAACTGAGTTCTAGACTTGGAGCTAAAAATTTAGATTTATTATCAGATACCTGGACAGGCTGAATGACCCGGACTGGCACCCTTTTGTTGTCTAGCATAACTTTCAGGGAAAAGCAGCACTTGGATTGTTTCTTAGCTTTAGGCATACTGTATCTTCATCAGGTTGTGCTAAGGAAAGAAAGACTTGAAAGCTAAATTGTAATTCATGGTTATGTCAAATCGTTGCTAAGTTTTATTTTCATTGACAGTTCCGGGTGGGTCAGATGGTCCAAGTGGAGTGCTGATCTGCTCTGAAAACTATATCACCTACAAGAACTTTGGTGACCAACCGGATATCCGCTGTCCGATTCCCAGGAGACGAGTAAGGTCTTTCTTTGCTATAAGAGATATTTGTGTTTGTGAAATGAACTTAGTTTTTGTAATCACAGTGTGCGTAGTCTCTTTACTTGTTACCAAGTTTAGTTTCTTTGTAAATGTTATCTTTAATAAAGCTGGTACAATGTTAGTAAAAACAAAATAAATATCCGGGGAAAGGGAATTTAAAACTAGCACAATTTCCATTTCAGAGGAACCTGTGGACACAATCAGTTTGAAATTCCTGGAAGTTTCTAGTTTGAAGAAGCCAGGCATATTTGTTGGGGATAAATTATCTTTCAATCAGGGGTGTTCAACATTTTGGCGTCTCTGGGCTACATGTTATATATTGTAACTTAAAATCACAAAAGAACTCATAATATTTTAAGTAAATTTACGATTTTGTATTGAGTGCCATTCATCACTGTCCTGGGCCTCCTGCAGCCCTTGGGCGGTGTGTTGGACACACCTGTTCCATTCTGTTTCTTTTTCCCCCATTCCAACATACAGGAAATTTTGAAACACTAGGACAGTGGATTTCAGTGTGTCTTTCACTTCAATTTACCAATTATTAATATTTTACTGCATTTCCCCTTTTCTTACAGTGTGTGTGCGCGTAAATGTGCGTATAAACGTTTTGAGGCCAGACCATTTGACAATAAGTTGTAGGCGTTGTGACACTTTGAGAATCTAAGATCTTGGCTCCTAAGAATGAGGACACTTTTGTATGTAATCCAACTACCAATATCATGCCCATAAAACTTACCTGTTTGGGTAATACAATTATTTATATTTTAGTTTCTCACTGTTCCCAAAAATTTCTTTATAATCTACTTTTAGTCTCCTTTAGTTGGGAATATTTTCTTCTCATTTTTGTTTGTTTTGGTTTTATGTTAGCTGACATTTTTTAAAAGGCTGGGCTAGTTTTCTTATACTCTGTCCCATATTCTTCCTCGTGACAATATCCAGGTTAATAGTTTTGATAGAACTGTTATGGAGGTAGTGATATATATTTCCTACTAGATCATGACAGGGGTATATGATGTTGGTTTGTCTCATTTATTGGTGATGCTAAATCAATCTTTTTGTTACATTGGGGTGTCTCTTTTCTTCATTGTGAGAATCTGGTGGTGAACTTTGAAACTGCATAAATGACCTTTTCCTCAACATCTTTTCATCCAGTGGTTTCCCCCTTAATTAGCTACTATTTGGATGGTTGGAAATGGTGTTTTATTGCTTTTAATTTTAACAGTTTATGATTAAGCATACACAAAAGTGAAATATAATTAGCTTCTCTGTGCCCAGCTTCAGTAGTTACCAACACATAGCTGATCTTGTTCCGTTTGGCTTCCTGCATCTCTCCTCTCAGCCTCAGATTAGGTCCCTTAATATTGATTTATAGATCCTGGAATTAAAATTTTTAGGAGTTACTTTCTGTAGTACATGGTGTCTATGATTCCATCAGTGTTAGAAAACCTGAGGAGAAATTTAGCAAATTAAATTCTTGGTAACAGGTAGAAAGTAATTTGGTTGATCAGACATTTATTGAACATTTAACTGCCAGGCATCATACTTGGCTTTGGGGCTACAAAGAAATATAAAACATGTTTTGCCCTTGAAGAGCTTATTCAAAGAGAGAAATACAAAATGTTGAAAACAAAAAAATCCAAAAATCATAGCCAAGGAAATGCCTGTTAGGAATCAAGGAAGTTGATGCAGCACAGGGCTGATGATGGGTGGTTTAGGAGGTAGTGTTGGGGCTGTGGATGAGTTTTATCCACAGCCCGAAATGATTAGGTTTTAAAGTTTGTGTCCCCTTTTTGACATTTTTTTCTGGAGATAGTTTTTGCCTTACCTGATTAGGCTGTAGAGTAGAATTATAGTAGTGTTTTCTGGAACCCAGGCTTTGGTATATTCATAGCAGACAAGAATTCTTAGGTTTTTATTTCCATGGCTAGCTGGCTGCTCTAGATCAAAGCTTGTACAGAGGGGCTCCAGGTGCTGGAGGCCGGGGTAGCTTGTGTAGCCCTTGTTGGACAGGCTCTAAATTCCAGTGTAAGTGCTCCTTTCTAAGATGTGCTTGTATATTCTATTTTTCCAGAATGACCTGGATGACCCTGAAAGAGGAATGATTTTTGTTTGCTCTGCCACCCATAAGACAAAATCGATGTTCTTCTTTTTGGCCCAAACTGAGCAGGGTGATATCTTTAAGATCACTTTGGAGACAGATGAAGATATGGTAAGCAGACCATATTCAGAGGCGGGTAAAGACCAAGTGCAATATTTTATTTGCTAACAAGTGCAGTATTTCATTTGTTACTCTGCTTAATACGTCCATGGCCTAGCTTTGCTTCATGCCTACACACTAGAATTTCTTTTTCTTTTCATTCCAGGTTACTGAGATTCGGCTCAAGTATTTTGATACTGTGCCCGTTGCTGCTGCAATGTGTGTACTTAAAACAGGCTTCCTTTTTGTAGCGTCAGAATTTGGAAACCAGTAAGTAATCCTTTTATTACCTTAGTTTACCCTGGTTAAGGTAACAGTTGCAAGAGGGAGAGTGACTGCAAGGCCAGGGAACTTTTTAAAGAATGTTTTAGCTCTGGCTGGTTGGTTCAGTTGGTTGGAGTGTTGTCCCATACATACACCAAAGAGGTTACGGGTTTGAATCCTGGTCAGGGCAAACACCTAGGTTTTGAGTTTGTTCAACTCCTGGAGTTGGCGTTGATACAGGAGGTAGCTGATGGATATTTCTCACATTGATGTTTCCGTGCCCCCCTCTTCTCTCTCTCTCTCAAGTCAATAAACATATCTTTGGGTAAGGATTTTTACAGATGTTTTAGTTTCTCTGAAACAAAAGTTTTGCCTTTCCCTTTTACATTTTTTCTCTTGATTATTTTCTTCTACTTCAGGGACTTTGATCTATACCTATGGGTGGCTGCACAGCTTTAGAAGTCATCTTCTGAGCTTTGTGCTGGATATTTTATTGAATAAATATTGAACTACTTAGTATTAAACAGATGTTCCACAAAGCACGTTGCTGGTACAAATCTGAAGAGAAGAAAAAAGAAAGCCAGTACGAGGATGGGTTACTGAGGTTCCTGCCGTGGGCCGTGGGGACTCACTTCCAGGAGGACCTGTTGAGCATGAAGCAGAGTGCTTCTCAGATTGCCTATCTGAAGGTTAACATCACCAGCTCCTCTCTCTTGGGGTCAAGGCTCCCCTGGGGCTGTGAGCTCTGACAGGCAACCTCCCACAGGGTGGAAGTTCTTAGGACAGAGTAGAAAGACAGACTACTGCGTACAGATGGGATCCTGATGAGTGAGACGGGTCTGATTTTGTGAGAAGTTACTCATTGTGCTGCAGCCGAAATTTCGAAGATTTACCATTTGCTAAATTCCAAGCACTGTTTTAAGCACTTGACAAATATAAATACATAGCATTCCCAATTATACAGTACCATTATACATATATCCCATTTACAGTTTAGAGAACTGGGTTACAGAGAAATTAAGAAACTTGATCACACAACTAAATCTGATTCAAACCCAGACAACCTGGTTCCAAAGTCTCTGCTCTTAAGCACAACACTCTAGTCTCAGAAATTGTTTACAGTAAGATTCGGCCAAAGCAGCCTTTCCTGTGATCTTGATGATGGCTCATAGTCTTCATTTATTAGCCACTGAAAGTACCTTTGATAGGTGGTATCTACCATCTGCACATAGGCATCTTGCCTGAGTAAGGAGTTCATATTAATTTTTTGTGTATGTTGTCTTCTCAGTGCTTTTTGTAAATTGTTCTAGGATAATAACCCTATTTGCTTTTTCATATTTTAGTATAGACTGTGATATGTTTATCAAAAGTGTTAAATGCTGAGGTTTATTAAGTGTCATACATTTAGTCACTTTGCTTCTAAGAAGCTGTATTGGATATTGTTCAAAGTGCTCTGTTCCTAAGGGCCAGCATATTACTTAAAGAATAAATATGATCAGTAGTTTGGTGTTCTATATATATTTTTTTAAAATATTTTTTAAATTTATTTTTCAAGAGAGGGGAAGGGAAGGGGAAAGAGTGGGAGAGAAACAGCAATGTATGGTTGCCTCTCATGTGTCCCCTGGTGGGAACTGGCCTGCAACCCAGGCATGTGCCCTGACTGGGAATCAAACCGCGATACTATGGTTCGCAGGCCCGCACTCAATCCACTGAGCTAAGCCAGCCAGGGCTATATTTTCTTTTATAAAGCTTTTTTACTTTAAGATTTTATTTATTTATCTTTAGAGGGGAAGGGAAGGAGAGAGGGAGAGAAATACTGATGTATGGTTGCCTCTCGTGCATCCCCTGCTGGGAACTGGCCTGCAACCCAGACATGTGCCCTAACTGGGAATCGAACCGCACTCCTTTGGTTCGCAGGCCCACGCTCAATCCACTGAGCTACACCAGCCAGGGTGTGACTGGGTTTTTTATGCTATTGAGGTCCTCACTAAGTTCCTTGAGCATCTTTAAAACAAGTGTTTTGAACTCTGCATCTGACAGATGGCTTATCTCCATTTGTTTAGGTCTTTTTTTGGAGTTTTGATCTGGTCTTTCATTTGGGCCATATTCTTTGTCTCCTCATTTTGGCAGCCTCCCTGTGTTTGTTTGTGTGTATTAGGCAGAACTGCTGACTCTGTGTCTTGGTAGTGTGGCTCAATGTAGTAAGTGTCCTCCTATAGGACCTGGTGGCACAGCCTCCCCTTTCACCCAAGCTGGGTAGTCAAGGTGCACCCTTTGTGTGAGTTGAGTACACCCTCCACTTCCAGTTGAGAGCCTTGGTTGCTGTTCGCAGATCAATGAGTGGGATTTACTCAGGCCAGTCAGCTTCAAGTATTGGCTGTGACCACTTACCACCAGCCTATGCCCTCTGTGGATCAGCTGTGCAGGGCCAGAGTGGTCTAGCGGAAGCCCAGTGTTTATAACCACTGTGATGCTGAGGTTTTTTCATTGTACCAGTTGGAATACAGTAGTCTTATTTTTTTTCATCCCTTTTCTATTTAAGACAGAGAGAAAACTCATGTAAGTAGAGATTTCAAACTACTGATGCTGACTCAGAAATGCATGTTGTAATTTGGATTAGATATTAATAAAGTACTTTCATGAGCATTAATATTGATGTCAAACAGTATATTCAGACAGAAAATACTTTTAACCAAAGTCTTGTTTGCTTCTCTCCAGTTACTTATATCAAATTGCACATCTTGGAGATGATGATGAAGAACCTGAGTTTTCATCTGCCATGCCTCTGGAAGAAGGAGACACGTTCTTCTTTCAGCCAAGACCGCTCAAAAACCTCGTGCTTGTTGATGAGTTGGACAGCCTCTCTCCCATTTTGTTTTGCCAGGTGAGCCTTTCCAGTCACCTCCACAGTGAGCAGTGCCAGCCAATTGTTTTTGAATCTGAATGAATTTAAAATTTCAATTCCAGTTCAATTAAGGTCCATGTACCAGGTTTGTCAGCATGTCTTTGGAATCACCAGAGTTGTAAAGATGAAGCAGCTTAAGGTAGAAGGACTAAAAACCATTATGTAAATTCTTGAGTTTGTTTATTTAATTATAAAAACTGGTGTGTAGTATAAAAATTCAAGCCATATAATAGGTTAAAAGTAAGTCTAATCCCCAGTCTTTTCAACCCCCACTCCACTGAGGTTGCTGCTGTTGACAACTCGTGATTGTCTCCAGGCATTGTCTCTGCATCTGTAAGCACACACACACAACAAACATGTTTTTCGTGGGGTTTTGGGGGTTTTTGTGTGTGTGTTGTGTGTGTAAATAGGCTCAGGTACTTCAAAGAATTCTGAAATTGACCTTTTTAGTGTACTGTACGAAGACCTATATTTATCTCATTTTTAACGCTCATTTCCTCCTTAAAATTCTCCAGAGGTACCTGGGATCAGGTAACAGGCACTTTTTAATGACATCCTCCAGGAGGAACCTGAGGTGACTCTGGATGGGGATTGCGTCCCCTACTACTGACACTGAGCTGAGCAGGGATTTTCCTCTGTGTCCTGAATTCCCGGGGGTTGAGTGGCCATTAGGGGTCTCCTACCCTGTCTAGTTGGTCACACTTCTAGTGGGAGGGCGGTTTGCTTGTTGGGTGCTGGGGAAACAAGTCAGCATTCAAGCACTCTTCCTGGTAAAATTGATCATTATGAAATTAACTCCTTTTGTTGTTTATTTCTGAGAAAGGATCAGTCCTCAGGGCAGTAGAAAATAAGTATTAAGAGATCTGTGTGTAGGCTGTGTTCAACTGACAGACTCATCCATGTTAAAGTAGAGTGCAGTGCTTCATAGACCGTTGAGGGTTCTCGTTTAACTGTCCAGTTTGAGAACACTACAGATTAAATGACTGACATCTCTTTTCACATGTTGACCAACAAATAATTGATAAATACAAATTTAAAGTGGTAATTAGGGAAATAATTGAAAATATTTATAAACTTTGATGTTACATAAGTAAGATTTTGCTGGTGAGAAAATCACAGAGACTAAGAAGATTATAGGTTGTATTTTACTTGGGAGGAAATGCTAAATTTCAGTTGGAGACTATCAAATGCTTCTATTACTATAAAAAAAAAATTCTTGCCCTAGCTGGTGTGGCTCAGTGGTTTGAGTGCATGCCTGCGAACCAGAGGATTGCGGTTCGATTCCCAGTCAGGGCACATGCCTGGGTTGCAGGCCAGTTCCCAGTGGGGGACACACGAGAGGCAACCATACATTGATATTTCTCTCCCTCTCTCCTTCCCCTCTAAAGATAAATAAATAAAAAGTTTTATATAAAAAAATTTCTTTGCTAACTTGTAAAGCTTTTTGTTGATAAAAACCCATCTTCCAACTGGTTTGCTTTGGGGAACATTCAGGCTTTTTCCTTCATACCCTCAAGGTCAGTAGCCAGTATGTAATAAGTTTTATAAACTAAAACATGGTTTGCTCCCTGACAATAATCAGGGATCAGTGTGGAAACTTAGCACAAGTAGACTTACCTTTTTTCCTGCAGATAGCTGATCTCGCAAATGAAGACACTCCACAGCTGTATGTGGCCTGTGGCAGGGGACCCCGATCATCTCTGAGGGTGTTAAGGCACGGGCTTGAGGTAAGATTGGAGTTTCTAGATCATCTGCAGAGTTTGGAGGGAAGCATTGATAAAACAGCCTGTGGCTTTACTCTGATGAGATCTAAGATAGATTTAATGTTTCTATGAAAGAGAAATGTTTTCTTTTTCCCCTATTTCCATGAAGTTTTAAGTTTAAATGTCCTATTCCTTAACATGTTAGCACAAGCATATTTTTAAAAAACTGGCACATGGGGCCCTGGCTGGTGTGGTTCATTGAAAAGTCACCAGTTGGATTCCTGGTCTGGGCACACACCTGGATTGTGGGCCAGTCCCCCAGTTGGGGGCGTGTGAGAGGCAACTGATCTATGTTTCTCTTGCACATATTTCTCCCTTTCTTCCTCCTTTCTCCCTCTCTTTAAAAAAATTAAAATCTTTACAAAAAAACCAAAACTGGCAAATGGAGATAAAAGGCAAAAACCATCTCTATTAGTTCCAGGCTCACTAGCCTTAACATTGAAATGAAGTTTTTGTATTCTTCATATTTTTGATTACTATATATTCTGTGTATGTATTTTCATATCTTGTGGGGTCAACTTTTCTCGCAAGATCCCCAGTACGCCACGAATGAAAGTAAACAAGACTGAGACATGATCTACTTGGGGAAGAGAGGTGGCCGATCCCTCAAGAGGAGGGAAGGGCTGTGAGCAGTGGCCAGTTTCTCAGGGGAAAAAGGTCTCAAGCCCCTTCCTCTAGGGGCTTTTATTGGGTTGTAATACACAGGAATACAGGGCAGCAAGGACCAGATAGTAGATAACATTTCAAAGAAATCTGAGGGCTTAGTCTGAGTCAGAGTCTGTCAGGAAGAGAGTTTTGCAGAAACTTTAGGGTGTAGAGTCTGTCAGGAAGAGAGTTTTGCAGAAATTTTAGGGTTTCCTGTTTGAACCCTTAACATATGAATGAAAGCACTCTTAGGAGAGCAGATTTCACAGGTTTATCAGGAATTTTTTGTGATGCCAGATTTTCTCTGGCAAGGCCAGGTGCACCCCTCCCCATCAGGTATTCAGGCTTAAGGGGATTAGAGCCAGGAAGCACTTCTCCCAGAGAATTTGGGGACTTGGGCTATGTTGCATAGCTGAGTGCAGGGGTCTATTGCTCGCTCTTTGTTGCAGCCCTCCCGCCTCCCACCCACCCCCCACCCCCCAGTCCTTCCATGATGGCCTCCCAAGTCGTTGAGTGTGGCTTAGGTTGCCCCCTGCTGTGAGGAGACTTACTCTTCATTGACTTCCAACCAAGCTTTAGGGACAGGGAGGAAACTGAGGCAACATTTGCTACCAGAGACAAGCTTTGTCTCCTGTGGCTCACATTCCAGAGGTCACTCGCTCATCCCTAGCCACAGGGGGTAGAGTAACAATTCCTGAAACCAGGCAAAGCAGTCCACTACAATATCTTATAAATTTACTCCTCATTATGATGTGCTCTTTTTATATATTTTATTGATTATGCTATTACAGTTGTCCAATTTCCCTCCCTTCATTCCCTCCACCCTGCATACCCTCTTCCACCCACATTCCCCTTTTAGTTCATGTCCCCTATTGCCATGAAGTTTTAAGTTTAAATGTCCTATTCTTTAGTGTTTACATTTCCCATGCTATTCTTGCCCCCCCCCCCCCCCGTCTATTTTCTACCTACCATCTATGCTATTTATTCTCTGTACCTTTCCCCCCTCTCTCCTCTTCCCACTCCCCTGTTGCTAACCCTCCATGTGATCTCCATTTTTGTGGTTCTGCTCCTCTTCCAGTTGTTTGCTTAGTTTGTTTTCCTTTTAGGTGTGGTGGTTAATAATTGTGAGTTTGCTGTCCTTTCACTGATCATCTATTTTATCTTCTTTTTCTTAGATAAGTCCCTTTAACATTTCATATAATAAGGGCTTGGTGATGATGAACTCCTTGAATTTGATCCTATCTGAGAAGCACTTTATCTGCCCTTCCATTCTAAATGAAAGCTTTGCTGGATAGAGCAATCTTTGTTGTAGGTCTTTGGATTTCATGACTTGGAATACTTCTTTACAGCCCCTTCTTGCCTGTAAGGTCTCTTTTGAGAAATCAGCTGACAGTCTGATGGGAACTCCTTTGTAGGTGACTGTCCCTTTATTTCTTGCTGCTTCTAGGATTCTCTCCTTCATTTTTATCTTGGGTAAAGTAATTATGATGTGCCTTGGTGTGTTCCTCTTTGGGTTCACCTTCTTTAGGACTCTCTGAGCTTCCTGGATTTCTTGGAAGTCTATTTCCTTTGCCAGATTGGGGAAGTTTTCCTTTATTATTTGTTCACATATCTTTTCCACTTACTGCTCTTCCTCTTCCCATTCTGGTTCCCCTATAATTCAGATGTTGGAACATTTAAAGATGTCCTGGAGGTTCCTAATTTTTTTTGAATTTTCGTTTCTTCATTCTTTTCTAATTAGATGTTTCTTTCTTTCTTCTGGTCCACTCCATTGATTTGAATCCCAGTATCCTTCCCGTCACTATTGTTTCCTTTATTTCCCTGTACATTTTCCTTTATTTCACTTAGTGTAGCCTTCATTTTTTCATCTAATTTGTGACCAAATTCAACCAATTCTGTGAGCATCCTGATCACCTGTGCTTTGAACTGTGTATCTGATAGGTTGGCTATCTCTTGGTCGCTTAGTTGTATTAGTTCTGGAGCTTTGATCTGTTCTTTTGTTTTGCCCTTTTTTTTTTTTTTGGTCTTGTCGCGGCTGTTACATATGAGGGATAGAGCCTTAGTTGTTTACCAGGGCAGGGCAACCCAATGGCTGGGTCTTGATGCTGTACATGGGGGCACAGTCTGAGAGGGAACAATGGTGCTTGTTCCGCTTTCTGTTGGACTTCAGTTTCTTCTGCCTCTTCCCCCCCAAGCAAACTGGGCCGTTCTGGTGCTGGTTCCTGGGTGGGTGGGTTTGTTCACGTTCTAGGACCCTGTAGGTTTCTCCAGCGAACTTTCCTGTGAGGCTGGGAGTCTCTCCCTGCGTGTCAACCCCCACAGGTGTTTTCAGTCGGTGTTTTGAGGCTTTATTTCCCTGTGTTGGGACCCTGGGTTGTGCAGTCTGTCTCGCTGTCCAGTTATATGCATGCAAATGTAGGACTGCTGCCTGGTCAGACAGTTGCCTTGTGCACAGTGCCTTACTGGGTCTGCCCATTGCCACCCCAGGCCTGGGGTCTTCCGACCACTGCCTGGGGGCCCAGGGTCTGCCCGCTGCTGTCATGAGTGCCCGTGTCACTGATTCTTGTGCCAGGACCCCTCTCTGCTCAGCTGCCCAACTCCGCCCTGCCTACCTGTCTGGATGAATATGTCTATTTCAGCTCCTTGACTGTCAGACTTCCATATAGTTCAATGTTCTGTCAGTTCTGGTTGTTATTTTGTTTCTAAATTTTTGTTGTCCTTATTTTGGTTGTGCAAGGAGGCACAGTGTGTCAACCTGTGTCTCCATCTTGGCCGGACGATGTGCTCTTAAGTCACATCATCCTTAATTTTTTTTCCCTCTTCCACTAAAGTGGATGGATCAGAATTTATTTAATGAACACTTTATGCTGGACATTAAAAAATTATCTTTTCAAATCACACCTTATCCTCTTGATGCTAGTGTTAACCTTTTAGCAAATGCTTAATTTTTTTAAGATTTATTTCTTCTTTCAAAATTTAAACATTGGAAGCCACAGAGCAAAGCATGTATGTATATATGTATGTATGTGTGTACACACACACACACACACACACACACACGTGCAGGTCTGTCTTTTAAAAAATGTTGCATGTGCCCTGGCTGGTGTAGTTCAGTGGATTGAGCGAGCACGGGCCTGCGAACCAAAAGATCGAGGTTCGATTCCCCGTCAGGACACATGCCTGGGTTGCAGGCCAGTTCCCAGCAGGGGATGCACCAGAAGCAACCATACATTGATATTTCTCTTTTTCTCTACTTCCCTTCACTTCTAAAGATAAATAAATAAAAATTTAAAAAAAAAAATAAAAATTAAAAATGTTGCATGTTTCATAAGTTTAAAATTTCAGATATTGAAAGAGCAGCATTAGGAACATTCATTGCAAGGTTATGGCATAGTAGAGAAAAGGTTTTTAGAATATGCTCCACTTGAAGGGGTCTGGAGAAAGCCGTGTCCACAAGCCACATAAAGGGAACACTTAATGTCACCACCTAGGGAAAAGAGAGTCATGCACTGCAGGACTCTTGTCTCAGGAGAGTCGGGCTCCACCCAGGAAATCCTTCTGTGCTAGCTGTGCAGGGTGTCCCCTGTGGGCATTTTCATGAACTGCTGCAGGATAAAGCAATGAACATTTTTCTGTGCATTTTGCTTTCAGAGCTTGGGGCTTGCAAACTGTTGTTTTCATTGCCTGTTTTTGTAGATTTTTATTGGAACACAGCCAAGATGACATTGGTTTTGAATTCTGGCTCTACCAGTTAATAGCTAAACCTTTTTACATAATAGCTTAACTTAAACTTATGTTTCCTCTTCTGTACAAATGGGCTTAATGGCACCTGCCTTAAATAACTGAAGTGTGAATTACCTAAGATAATGCATATAAAGCACTTAGCTCAAGGTCTGGCATATAATTGTTCAGTAAATGTTTGCTATTAATATTGCTGTTCAGGGAGTTTGACATTTCTTTTTGCATGTGTCAATAAATTTTTGACTGTCAAAACTCATTAATTCATCCTGGCTGGTGTGGCTCAGTGGATTGGTGTCAGCCTGGGAACCAAAGGGTCCCTGATTTGACTCCCAGTCAGGGAAGGCCAGTCTGGGGTGCAGCTCAGGTCCCCAGTAGGGGGTGCATGAAAGGCAACCACACATTGATGTTTCCCTCTCTTTCTCTTCTCTAAAAATAAGTAAATCTTTAAAAAATTAAAAATAAAAACATTAATCCACCAAATTCTTAATGATCCAAACCCAGTTTGGACCAGTAATTCTTGATGAGTTATTATTCATTGGATGGTTTCTATTGAGCTTCTGATGAAAGCTAGCATTCCTCCAAAAATGCATATATACACTTACAGAAAATTTTGTGTACAGTATAAAAAATAAAAGACCCAATTAAGAATTATTTTTACCCTTTTGAAAAGCACTTGTTGGGCCTTTCGCTAATGACCCACGGAGCTGTCTGGAAAGGGTGAAGTGAAAACCCTGCTTCTGGGTGAAGCAGCAGGACATTGTGCTGTTTCGCCTCAGTCGGTGGTGCGACGAGGGGGAAGGAAAAACAATTATCTTTAGTCCCCTGCTCCTACCACTTTTTCCAAATCTACAAAGAATTTTTTTCTTACGCTGTACACCTTAAACTAATACAATTAATATTGACTGTAAACTATAATTGAAAAATAAAATTAGAAAAATTCTTGTTATATTGTTGAACATTCCTTTGTTTCTTATGTGTATTTGAACCTTGTCTGGCTAGAGTATGGTCTCAGTTAAATAGGGTCAGTATCAGATACTACATTTGATACAGGATGGAGCATATCTGATATGTACATTTTGTTGATGATGAAACCCTTCAGGGCTCTCCTGTACCATGGTCGGGTATTCCTGCTGTTACTGAGCTAGCGAACTAAGAGAAGGGTAGTGTCTTTCATGAATATACTTGAGTTCTTTCTATAAAATGTAGTTATGAAGTACAAATGTATTAAGCAGTCTAATTTATTGTTTCTAGGTCATTTAAAAATATTAAATTTTTTATTTTAGAACAGTTTTGGATTTACAGAAAAATTGCAAGGATAGTATGTATAGAGCAGGGGTATCAAACTCATTTTCACCAGAGGTCACTCAGCCTCATGGTTGTCTTCAAAGGTCCAAAATAATTTCAGGATTGTATAAATGTGACTACTTCTTAACTGTTAACGAGCTGAAATTACATTTGCCCAGGAGGCTAGGAAAGATTTTCTTCCCTAAAGGATGTGGTATTTGAAATGGTCCGTAAAGAGAGATGAGACTTGGCTTTTGGGAGCTAAGGAAAGAATGGAATGCTAACTCAGAGGGTCTCACTCACTTCCACATGCTCTCTCTGAGGGGATGCGAGCATGCCATGCCCAGAGGAAGCATACAGTTTTGGCTGCAATAACTACCCTCCCGGGTGTTTCATCATTTTTTTTTCTAAAGTAGATTTTCTTTTTAAGATTTTATATTTATTTATCTTTAGAGAAGAAGGGAAGGAGAGAGGGAGAAAAATATCAATGTATAGTTGCCTCTCATGTGTCCCCTGCTGGGAACTGGCCTGCAACTCAGGCAAGTGCCCTGACTGGGAATTAAACCGTGGTTGTTTGGTTCGCAGGCCTGTGCTCAATCTACTGAGCTACACCAGCCAGGGGCTGTTTTGTCATTTCTTGCTAAAGTCTGTCATGGGTATTGCCAATGCTCCCAGCCTTTTTGGTTCTTGTGTTCTTTTTTGACTAGATGGTTACATTCTTCTAATCCAGCATATAGTGTGAGTACTGCCTTTGGTATCCTATTGTCAGAGAGCTAAGTTCCATGCTCACTGGATCTGTGGTTTATCTCCTCTTCTGTCAGGTGTCGGAAATGGCTGTCTCCGAACTTCCCGGTAACCCCAATGCTGTCTGGACAGTGCGCCGGCACATTGAAGGTAAGGAACCCTTTCCCAACAGTCAAAAGGAGGGTCTGGGTGCCATTAATAATTGAAGGCTTAAGAGGCCACATTCATAATATTACTATATCATTTCATCTAGCTCCGTATACTAGAAACTTTCTGGCTAGATATGATGTTTTGAGAGGTGCACCCAATCTGGATGCCTTCACCCACTACTTTTTGTACAAATGGGTAATATTTAGTACATACACACTTTGGTATCATTGAGCTTTCATGTGTAATGTTCGTTGACTATTCACCTGTAAGACACTGGTTCCATCTGTGTAAGAGGTATGGTGTGAGGGAAAGTTTTGCTTCATTTTTCTTCAACCATTCTCTTCTACTGTGCTGAAACCACAGTGAAATTGATGGTTATTCTATGTGTGTAGGAGATTTGCTAAAACTCGTTAATTAGTCCTACTTGATGGGTGTAGTTGTGCTTAAGGAAAGTGGAGATGGAACGGAATCAGAATTTTAGAGTGAATGGGAAAGGGGTGGAGGGAAGAGGGGGAGTTGGAGCTCCTGCATGGAAATGGTCACCTCATCCTACGATTATGAAAGCTGTGTGAAAATGCATAGTAGTGTAACAGCAGGAAAGTCTGGTGACAACTGAATTTCAGTCCCTTCGAAACAAAGCTCAGTTCCCATTTTTCCTTTGATTTACTTTGGGCCATAGGTCATTTCTATTCCAAGACCTTATTTTCCTCTTCTTCCCTTAGAAATTTAGGACTGATGAGTAAGATCACCCTGGCCAGCATACAGAGCTTTTCCAAGAAAACAGCTGGACTTATTCCTGATATTTAGATGTTGTCGTGTGGAACAAATTTAAGGGAGCTGGGAAATGTGTAGGAGGGAGACCTCTTTCTAAATACATTTTGGTGTATTTTTGTTTTCAAGTAGGCACAGGAATCAAGTCTGAGTTAAGAAAAAAATACATGAGTTAAGAAAAAAAGAAATGATGAATAGAAAATTATATTAATTTTAGCCGAGAGGATAATTAAATAATTGATTTTGAAAGATTTCCCCACTTCATGTAGTATCATAAAGAAACTGGTGATTGTTGATGTTCACCTTTAGCTTGGTGGCTCTTTGACTTAATGGCTCTTGAAAACATTGCCTAGGCTGTTTGAATTAAAGAGATCCTTTGAGATAAAAACCACTGTGCCTCCCCCCCCTTATTTGTTTGTTTTACTTAAATTGTTTTAAAATAGATTTAGATTTGCAGGAAATCACTGCCATTTTTATTAAGGCAGTAAATCATAGGTCAGCTGTATCATGATAGTTCACCACAGTTATAGAAATTGAAAGCTCTGAATTCCAACCCAGCGCTCACTTGACAGCCTGCAGTGGGAGTCTGTGGTTCTTGCTGGTTTGTTAGGATGAGTTCTGGACTCTCATCTGCAGTCTTCTGAGTGCCCACTGTGTGCACAGAGTAATTAAGAAAGGTCCCTACTTTCAGAGCACTTGCTCTCTAAAGTATACCAGACTGTTGCATGTTTTGATGTGATGAAAGGCACAAGCGTGTTGCCAAGGAGGGAGGGAATGGGCATGTGTTTGAGACGCAGGGAAGGCTTTTTGGACAATGTTTGATAAGTTAGTGATAAGCAGTATGGTGCATGGTGGAACTTACAGCTGAAAAATTTTCTCCTCTAAACACCAAAGACTAGGCAAAGTCTACATACTGATAAATTTTACTTTCTAGAAACCGTAATTTGGGCTATTATCCACAAAAACAGATCAGGTTCTGTCTGTTCATTCTCTTTCCTGATACCCCAAGTTACTCTTGAGTGAACAACCCACATGCTACAGTCTTCCAGGCAATTACTAACCTTGGCTGGTACTTGGTGATGCACACTACCAATACCAAGCCTTTTTTTCTCTTCCACAGGTGGCTGGTGAAGGTGCTGATCACCACAGGTGTGTACTTACTGTTAGGGTCTACCATGGGGTCTTAGAGTTTACCCAGGGAGAGGGATCCACACAAAATTTTGAGGCTTCCCTGATGGCATTTTTCAGAGGGCAACTTTGCAGTTGGATGTCTTTGTGCATTATAATAATGCACATCCATCTGCCTGTATATTAAATGGTCTGAGGCAGGAATCAACTTGTCTTATTTTCCCTTACAGAATATGGAAAATATGACTGATTTGTCTTTAAGATGAAAGAGCCTGTAGCTAGAAACCTTAGCTTCATATTCTCCCTTGAAGGGTTTTTTTTTTTTCTTTTTAAGATTTTATTCTTTTTTAAAAAGAGGGAAAGGGAGAGACATCAATGTGTGGTTGCCTCTCAAGTGTCCCTGCTGGGGACCTGGCCCACAACCCAGGCATGTGTCCTGACTGGCAATCAAATTGGTGACCCTTTGGTTCACCTGCTGGTGCTGAATCCACTAAGCCACACCAGCTAGGTCCCTCTACCTTGGAGTTTTGTGCGTTCCAGGTATACTAACTTAAAGATCGGACCCTAGAGAAAACCCGCACCCCTTTTTTGAGTATAATATGAGGCAAGACAAGCACTGGGTAGTTTGGGTATAAAATGAGAATGATGGCTTAAATCATGTGGATGGTCACTGATTTTGGCATTTTGAGTGGGCTGCTTATTGAGCCTTAGACGCTAAAGATGGGGGAAGAAGAAGAAGGTATCCTTTGTGTTGGGGTGCATCAGCAGTGCTCAGACAGGTAGAAGTCCTATTTAACTGAGCAAAAATGCATTTTCATACCCTAACAAAGTCTTCACTGAGGTATGAACTGATATTTCATATGAATCTCTTGGCCCCCAGGATAAAGGCAATCAGGATATTTATAGTTTGTAGTCATTTGCTTGACTGGAGCTTGATCTTGTTCTGAGCTCCAACTTTTAACCTTTAACCTCCTTAAGACATTAGAGCTACTAATCTGCTGCAGGTCCTCCTTGCCATAAAATAGAAAAGGTATAGGTTATAGTGTGCTTAGTATTCACAGGGTAATGGATATTTTGAGAAAATCTGTGATGTCATGCAGCTTTCAGGTATTAGTCTTTGCTCTACCACTTGTTGAATTGCCCGATTGAAATCCACTGAACAGCTATTTTGTATCTGAGCAGTTGGGTCAAAGGGAAGATAAAGTACCCAGGTAGTCCTCCCTTCCCCCACTCCATTCTCTTGTGTGTAAGTTAAAAGTTGTCTGTCTCTTCTCTGGAAGCCCCCTTTTCCTCATGACCAAAGGAAGAGACCAGGAAATCTTGGCTAGGTAGAACGCTTCTTGGTTGGGGTTTAATTTGCTCTGGCAGAACTTTTAAGGCGTTGGGTTTTAGTAATGAGAACATGGGGAAAGGTATACAATATTCATATAACGTTAAAATTAAGCAATTCCTATACTTACCTGGCAGGGGAGATACCATAATCACGAAGGTGGTTTTCCCAGGAGGAGGCTTATCCATTGCACTCCAGATGTGCTGACCCCTGTGATTTCCCCAAATGTGGGAAACGCAACTGCATAATTTGTGGTAGTGGGGGGGGGGGGGGAAAATTAAGCAATTCCTATTATTTTTACACAGCAGAAGTATCCAGTTCAAAATTGAGAGCTGGCATAAAGCTTCCAAGTCTGGTGTCCTGTGGAGAAGGGCCGTGGTTTTGTTGTGCAGTCTACAGACAGCTGTTCAGGACAGCTGAGTTATGCTTAGACTGAGTGTGAACAGTGCTGTCTTACAGCCCATTTTGTAAGGTGTCCCCACAGCATTTGATACAGGTTTATAACAGTAATCTAAAGTGAGATATTTGCTTGTCCACTGTTAACTCCTTGTGATTTGGAAATTGAATTATTACTCTGGCGTCATTGTATGGCTGTTAGATTACACCCATTGGGAGAGATCTTTGAGCCTTAACCTTTCAGCCACCTCATCAGTACACACATGTATTACTAACAAACCAAACAGTACTTATCTGTGTGTGAAGCAGTCTCATAAATCACATTTGTTTCTATATATCTCTGTTTAAAAGTGCTGATTGCAACCCACCAAATTGATTTTATGTCCTGCTAATGGGTCAGGACACAACTACTATAGGCTACAGCAGTAATACATCTTCTCTGGGTCCTGTCTTTTTAAATAAAGAACACTGATTCTGCTGAACTAATCCAATAATTTTTTAAAAGATTTCATTTATTTTTAGATAGAGAAACATCACTGTGTAGTTATCTACCCAGGTACACCCAGGCATGTGCACTGACTGGGTATCAGACTGGTGACCCTTTGTTTCACAGTCCGGTGCTCTGTCCATTGAGCCAGACCACCCGGGGCTAATCCAGTAACCTTCATTCAGCTGAACCACTTGGAGATTGTTCACAACCCAAACTGTCCTTGATTGTGGGTGGGGTGGATCAGCCTTCAGTCCTGTGGCTCCCACAGAGGCTGGGCTCAGGTAGACAGCTGCTTCTGTTAAGGGTAAGGCAGCCACTCCCTATTTAGTACCTTGTGTACGAGTCATTCTGTCCCTTGTTTACCTTGTGTCTGTAGGGATAGAAGGGGGAATTCGATATAGAAAATTCATGTGTAAAGTAATGTTCCTTTATTTAGTATTTACCAAACTGTATGCCAAACATTGTGTCAGATGTGGAAGACACACAAAAGCTGTTGTTTTATGTTTTAGGATGGCATGTATGGGAAATGGATGGCCTTTAACTGTGGGATCTACAGGAGAAACTTTTGAGTTTGCCTGTATACCTCGGGTCCTCTGACTTCCTTGAGAAACTCATTAGTGTTTGTTTATCCAGTTACATTTAATTAAATAAAAAGCAAATTCTAATATGATTGCTTATGGCTACTGAATAGTTGTATTTTAAATAGTGAAAAACTGCAGAGGTCAAGGACTGACAATATAAACAATATCCCCTCCCTACTTCCTGGTTATCTTGTGTTCTAGAGAGGTCAAGGACTGACAATATAAACAGTTTCCCCTCCCTACTTCCTGGTTTTCTAGTGTACTTATGTCATTTCTATTGGGACATCCGAGGACTCTCAGTTTCCAACCCTAGAATGACTTAGTCTTATGGAGGCTTCAGTAATCTGTTTTGTTTATTACATCTTGTGTTCCCATATAAGCTTCATTTGGAAGAAGCTTGTGATTGGCATCTGGACAAATAAGTTTAGTTTCAATGTATATTAATATTGTACTATTCAAGTTTTCTTCATGACTCTGATTCCCTTGCTTTGTTCTCTTGCATTTTTCCAGCTAATAACTCAAGAAAATACTAGTTTCCAGAGGCATTTGATGTGGGCATATCTACTCAATGTATTTAGGCATTTAAAGAAACAAAGTATATTTGTAGGCGCCTGTGACCCTTATTTACCTTTTGGACCATCCCCTGCTGCTTGTCACATGACTGTGATGACCACACATAGAAGTGCTTTGGAAGGTTTCTGAAGAGAAAACTTAGTGTGTCTCATTTGGCTTTGTAACTAGTGACTTACTAGCTAACCAACTCCTTTCTTTTTACTTTTTCAGATGAGTTTGATGCCTACATCATTGTGTCTTTCGTGAACGCCACACTGGTGCTGTCTATCGGAGAGACTGTGGAGGAAGTGACTGACTCCGGGTTCCTGGGCACCACTCCAACCTTGTCCTGCTCCTTGTTAGGAGATGATGCCTTGGTGCAGGTGAGGATTCTCAGAGCTGCTTACCTACTCAACTTAGTTCTTTCTTTGCCCTCATTTTGTAGGCTTCTGTGTTCACTTTAATGAGCTTTGAACTTCTTTAACGATGACTTTTCCTGGGGCCTGGCAACTCTTTTGTCATTGACCCAACTAGTGCCTCAAATGCAGTGGCTCCAGATCTGACAGTGACTGACAGATCTGATAAGTGTGAGGATCAGTGCAATGTGTCAGATTGCTAAAGGCAGGTTTCCTTGTGTTACTGTAGGTGTATCCTGATGGCATTCGGCACATACGAGCAGACAAGAGAGTCAATGAATGGAAGACCCCTGGAAAGAAAACAATTGTGAAATGTGCAGTGAACCAGCGACAAGTAGTGATTGCCCTGACAGGAGGAGAGCTGGTCTATTTTGAGATGGACCCTGTATGTTATTCTGTCATTTACTATGGGACTTGTGTCGGGTCCAGAGGTCAAGAGGGAAGCTACAGTCCAGCTATCTAGATTGTATTCACAAGAAAGGGAGTTGAGGAGGGAAAGTGTCCGCAAGCCAGTTTGAAACTTGATTGGGGGGAGTAGGAGGTAGGTTAGTTAATGTCTTCATTCTAATCGGAGTTATGAAATCCCATTTTATCAATGAAATGAAACACTTGCATCTCCTGCCCTTCGCACTCTACTTTCCCACCAAATATTTGCCATAGGATTAATTTCTGAAATCTGAATTCATTTTATAAATTTTCTAACGCTTTTTTACATGGAAGATGTTGGAAGATGCTCTCGGGAGGTTTGAGGGTACAGCTGGTTTAGAGTCTGACTGTACCTGTGATTGAGATTTCTTTGTTTTTAACTTCTGTATTTGAATTCTCTCTCACCCAAAGTATTCCCGTGAACAGGTAAAGTTTTATATATTTTCATTTCCTGAGAGCTAATTTGGCTTAGAAATTTTGTGGCACATTGTACTCATCAGAGTTCTCTTGTGATCAATAATTTTGCTTCCCATTAGCCTGTAGAGAATCTCAAGTAGAGAAATTCTTGGCCATTGATTATAGTAAGAGGAGTGAGAGGAAGCAAAAAGGAACTTAAAAGTCCTCCTTTTCCTGGGCCCATGGTTTGGATGTGAGTTAGAGTGGTTTGTGACCTCTCTCATCTTTGCTCCCGTAGTCAGGACAGCTGAACGAGTACACAGAGCGGAAGGAGATGTCAGCAGATGTGGTGTGCATGAGTCTGGCCAATGTGCCTCCTGGAGAGCAGCGGTCTCGCTTCCTGGCTGTGGGACTGGTAGACAACACTGTCAGAATCATCTCCCTGGACCCCTCAGTGAGTGTCGCCCTCCACTTCAAAGATCTTCCTGTTAGAACTTGAGTACTTGGCCCACTTCTGATGTCTGTCTCAGAGATCAGCTGGGCTGGGCCCTGAAATCTACACCTGTTGCTTCTGGATATTGTAGCAGCACATTTCAGGAGTCTTTGCAGTGCTTTAGAGATGCTGGTCTGAGACTTCCAAACACTTCATTGGCTTAAGCCTTGATTCTCTCTGATAGTTTTTTTAAAAAAATCCCAAGGCTGTCTTTGTAGGAAAGGACGTGGACTGGCTCCAGGGCCTTAGATGACTTTTAGGGAGGAAGTACCCTTCGCTTATATGCTTTATCCCATTATCCACTTTGACAAAAAAAAAAGAAAGAAAGAAAGAAATCATGATCCTCTGCAGAGCTTATTTTTAGATTCAGTTTAGCTAGTAATCCACTACTCATTTAGAATTTACTTCTCAGGTTTTCTCTGTGCACAAGAAAGTTGTTCTTTACTCCTAGAATTAGATTTCTCTGGGTAGGTTTTCTCCCCAAATTAGGCATTTCTTACCTTTTATTCTTTTCTTTTTTCTCCCTTAGGACTGTTTGCAGCCTCTGAGTATGCAGGCTCTTCCAGCCCAGCCTGAGTCCTTGTGTATTGTGGAAATGGGTGGGACCGAGAAGCAGGATGAGCTGGGTGAGAGGGGCTCTATTGGCTTCCTGTACCTGAATATTGGGCTGCAGGTAAGAAATCCACATAGGCACATTATTGGTGTCAGGTCTTTAGGTAAGAGTCTTTGATAAAGATGGACTGCTTTCACAACTCTGGGTTAGGACTAGGTGAAGTCCTCAACAGTTACCTTAGTTCCTACAATATACAGCTTTGGAAACTAATAACTAATAACCTCGCAGTGCCTAACGGGCTCCATTAACAATCAAGGACCCCTCGTGTCCTCTGTCATCTGAGCAGCTGGGCTCTTTGTGGCAGGAAAAGTAGGAACTTAAGGATCAGGTAGTATCAGGGTTTTTGACTATATACATTTTATTTTCTTTAATGATTATCTACTCAAAACACATAATCTAGCCCAGGTAATTTTTGCTTTTTAACTTTACTTTCTGATTTAGAAATTGTCAGTAATTGCCCTGGCTAGCATAGCTCAGTGGATGGAGCGCGGGCCTGCAAACCAAAGGATTGCAGTTTGATACCCAGTCAGGGCACATGCCTGGGTTGCAGGCCAGTTCCCAGTAGGGGATGCACGAGAGGCAACCATACATTGATATTTCTCTCCCTCTCTCCTTTCCTTCCCCTCTAAAGATAAATAAATAAATAAAATCTTTTTAAAAAATTGTCAAAATGGCATAAAGTTAGAAAAACCAATGTAATTAGTCTCTAATACTCATCACCAGTTTTAGCAGTTACCAACTTTAGCTCTTGTTTTATCTATCCCCCCTCTTTCTCCTGAAGTATTGAAAGCAAATCCAACAATAATTTTTTAATGTCATCTGTTGCGTTGTCCTTATTCCAATTTTTTTGACCCCCAAAATGTCTTTATATTTGATTCTGCTTAGGATCTACTAAAGATGTGTAACGTTTGCATCCGCTGATGTATATTTTTGTTTCCTTTAATAACTGCCCCATTCTCATTTTTGTTTTATTTTAAATATTTTATTTATTTTTAGAGAAAGGGGAAGGGAAGAAGAAAGAGAGGGAGAGAAACATCAGTGTGTGGTTGCCTCTCCTGCACCCCCATCTGGGGACCCAGCCTGAAATCCAGGCATGTGCCCCGACTGGGAATTGAACTGGTGACCTTTTGGTTCTCAGGCCAGCACTCAATTCACTGAGCCCCACCAGCCAGGTTTAGAGACCACTTTTAACCATGCATGTGTTTTATTTTTTAAATTTTGTTTATTTATAAAAGAGTTTAAATTTTTTTTTAGAGGGGGGAAGTTAGGAAGAAAGAGAGGGAGAGAAACATTGATTAATTGCCTCCTGTAAGTGCCCTGAACAGGGACCAAACCCACAACCCAGGCATGTGCCTTAACCAGGAATTGAACTGGTGACATTTCACTTTGTGGGACAATGCTCCAAGCAACTGAGCCATACCCATTAGGGCAGAATTTAACATACATGGTAAAAAGAGGGAAAAAAATTAAAGATATACAATGAAAAATATGTATGCTTTTTCACTTAGTGTATACTCAGTAACAGAGTGAGTGATTTAGTGAGAGAAGGAATGCATGACTGGCTGATTATTAGGATATTCTTTAAACCAAGTCATTTTCCTCTATCTGTACTTTGTATTTAAAGTGGCCAAGAGAACTTGCACCATGGGTAGATTTAACCCATGCCTCTTCTTCTTTAGAATGGTGTACTGCTGAGAACTGTCCTGGACCCTGTCACTGGGGACCTGTCTGACACTCGCACTAGGTACCTGGGGTCCCGTCCTGTGAAACTCTTTCGTGTTCGGATGCAAGGCCAGGAGGCAGTAAGTAATGAAAAGGGGCAGGCAGCATGTTTGGTTGTTAGTGATAGCAGATAAGGTGAATCCTCTTGGTGTAAGCTTTATTTTTATTTCACTAGTACGTAGTTAGTTCGACATTAGCTCTGCCTTGGTTGTTTTATTTCATTCAGTGTTAGAAGTTTTGCGTCCCTTAATATCCAGAGTTTCTTAACTGGGGTTCCATAGCACTCTTACGATTTGGTTATAGGTAAGTTGGGGTATTGATTCCTTCAGTCCTCAGGCTGGATAAATGGAGCAGCCTGAGAGTGGCTAGTTGAATACCTCCCATCCAGGGCAGTCTTGTATCAATGTCATTGTTTTAATATGTAATAAGGAAAGGATCTTTATGACTAAGAATGTTAGTGTTTCTGGGTACTCTGCTAGTTCTTTACTTGTTCCTGCATTTAGTCCTTGCAACACTCTAGCCTTGTGATAGTATTCCCTTTTTTTTACCTTTTTTTTAAATTTATTTTTTAAATTGATTATGCTGTTATAGTTGTTCTATTCCCCCCTTCATTCCCCTCCACCCTGCCCCCCCATCCCCACCATTACCCCCCTTTAGTTTATGTCCATGTGTCTCAAGTCCTTTAGGTTCTATATTTCCCATGCTATTCTTGCCCCCCCCATCTATTTTCTATCTACTGTCTATGCTACTTATTTTCTGTACCTTCTCTCCCCATCTCCTCCTCCCACTCCCCTGTTGCTAACCCTCCTTGAGATCTTCATTTCTATATTTCCACTCCTGATCTAGCTGTTCTTTTAGTTTGCTTTCGTTTTAGGTGTGGATGTTAATAACTGTGAGCTTGTTGTTCTTTCACTGTTCATGTTTCTTTAACTTCTTTTTCTTCGATAAGTCCCTTTAACATTTCATATAATAAGGGCTTGGTGATGATGAACTCCTTGAATTTGATCTTATCTGAGAAGCACCTTATCTGTCCTTCCATTCTAAATGAAAGTTTTGCTGGATAGAGCAATCTTGGTTGTAGGTCTTTAGATTTCATGACTTGGAATATTTCTTTCCAGCCCCTTCTTGCCTGTAAGGTCTCTTTTGAGAAATCTGCTGACAGTCTGATGGGGACTCCTTTGTAGGTGATTGTCCCCTTAGCTCTTGCTGCTTCTAGGATTCTCTCCTTCATTTTAATCTTGGCTAATGTAATTATGATGTGCCTTGGTGTGTTTCTTCTTGAGTCCAACTTTTTTGGTACTCTCTGGGCTTCTTGGATTTCTTGGAAGTCTATTTCCTTTGCCAGATTGGGGAAATTTTCTTTTATTATTTGTTCAAATAATTTTTCCACTGGTGGTTGTGTCTTTCCCCCTTCTGGTACCCCTATAATTCGGATATTGGAGCGTTTAAAGATGTCCTGGAGGTTCCTAAGACTCTCCTCATTTCTTTGAATTCTTGCTCCTTGACTCTTTTCTGTTTGGCCATTATTTGCTTTCTTCTGGTCCACTTCATTGATTTGAGTCCCAGTTTCCTTTTCATCTCTATGGGTTTCCTGTGGAATTCCATTCATTTCCCTTAATTTAGCCTTCATATGTTTCTCTAATTTGTGGCTATAATCAACCAGATCCGTGAGGAACCTGATGACCAGTGTTTTAAACTGTGCGTCTGAGAGTTTTGCTATTTCTTCGTTGCTTAGATTTATCTCTGGGGCTTTGAGGTCTTCCTGCGACATTTTTGGTCTGTTCTGGCCCTTTAAATGTGAGAAGCGGCGCCTTGGACTCCCAGGTCGCTGGGTTGTGACGCTGTATGTGGGGGCGTGGTCAGAGCGGGGAAATGGCGGCGCCCTCTACTGCCACTTGCCACAGGGACCGCCGGCCCCGGTCCAACCACCCACTCCCTCGCCTGTCCGCTCGCCCGCAGGTAGGCAACCGCAGTCAACACGCAGCACCGCCTCCCCACTGTCTCCTCAGCAGTCACTCACCCAGTGGGTTGCTCGGTCGCTCACTAGGTCCAATCCTGGGTTTGGAACCCATGCGTCTGGATTCGCGCGTCTGGATTCCGTGCCTGGGTCTGTCCAACCGGAGTCCTCCTGTGCAACCCCTCACGAAATGCCGGTTTCACCCCTTACCGGTCGGGCTGAAGAATTTGTTGTTAACGGACTTCTGAAAAGTTCAATTTTCCGTGTTCTGGTTGTGTTTTCTGATGCTAATATTTAGTTGTCCCTAAACTTGGTTGTGTGAGAAGGCACGGCACATCCACCTATACCTCCATCTTGGCGGAAGTCCATCAGTATTCCCATTTTGCACACCTGGAAATAGGCTCAGAGAGATTGAGTGCTTACACACTTCGAGCAAATAGCAAGCCATACTGCCTCTTCTGTAGGCTTTTTGTTCTGTAGGTAACCTTTTAGGTTTCTAGAATTTATTGGGATATTCTGCAGTCTGAAATTTGGGGGTAGGGTGTTTACTTAGCATACTATAGTTGCGTTTTTCCCAAGCTTATTGGATGTGTTTTTTTCTTTCCTTAGGTGTTGGCCATGTCAAGCCGCTCATGGTTGAGTTATTCTTACCAATCTCGTTTCCATCTCACCCCCCTGTCTTATGAGACCCTGGAATTTGCATCTGGCTTTGCCTCCGAACAGTGTCCTGAGGGCATTGTGGCCATCTCCACCAACACTCTGAGGTGAGAGAGTCCCACAGTTGAAGCCCAGTAGGAAGCCTTCTGCCAAGGCTTGGACTTTGCCGGAGTGTTGGAAGAAGTTATAAAGATATGGCAAAGAGCCGGCTAATGTGTTGCAATTGAAACCTTTATTTTGGCTCAGGGTTTAAGTACCTGGTAGCCAAGTTTCGATGTTTGGTGTTTTAGCTTCTGATTAGATTTTTAGGGCCAAGTTTTAAAAGTTAACAGTACAGTTAAGTATTCTTGAGATTTAAGAGGGGTTTTTGGTGTTCTTTTTAAGATTTTATTTATTTACTTTTAAGAGGGAGGGGCAGGGAGAAAGAGAGGGAAACATCAGTGTTCAAGAAATACATCAATCAGTTGCCTCTCTCATGCCCCCAACTGGGGACCTGGCCCACAACCCAGGTTTGTGCCCTGACTGGGGAATCAGACTGGCGACCTTTTGGTTTGCTGAGCCACACCAGCCAAGGTGTGATTTAAGGTTCTTGTTTTCTAGTGCAATGCCACTGGATTAGCTCTGGAGCATGATCACTTAACCTTTTCTCACTCTGTCTTGTCATTTGCAGTGTTACATCTTATATTTCAACTCAATATAAATGGCTGAGGCCTTTTTTTGCAAATTGACAGACTACAATTTATACCAGTGATGTTGAAGTGAGCACTGTTTATATTGCAAGCTGGAAAATAACCTGTTTAGTTTGGCTTTCTCAAGTTTTGGGTGGGGGGGTTGTTTTGTTTATTTGAACTTTTAATGCCCCACCCATATTGTTGATGTCCTGGTTATAACTATTGGCTGTTCACCATGGATTCATGGATTTAATAAAGCTTAGGTGATGTTTGTTCAGGAAGTCATTTACTTTACTTTATGAAAACCATCAGCACAAATACCACATATCTTCAGGTAATTGCAGTGCTTCACAATAATGTTGAAATTGATGCTCTTTATTTTAGGGTTTAGTAGTCATAAAGAAGAAATTTTTTAAGTTGTCTCTCTCACATTATCACTGGAGTGAAAAAATTTTTCCTTTGAGGATTCTGATGTGGGTTTCACTTGAAAACTGGGATTGTCATGAAACATAGTGGTGGGCTACTGCCAAAGTGGAGAGCCCTTCCCTGTCTTTGTCTCCTGTGCAGAATCTTACAGATTAAGTCTGTTGTTTCATGTTACCTAATGCCAACATTAGCGTTTTAGGGATTGAAATGTTTGCTGTTACCATTCATGGACCACTTGAACACCAGATTCCAGGTTCTGAGTGAGTGACCTATTAACTCCCTTTCTTTTTGACATAGGATTTTGGCGTTGGAGAAGCTAGGTGCTGTCTTTAATCAAGTAGCCTTCCCACTGCAGTACACACCCAGGAAATTTGTCATTCACCCCGAGAGTAACAACCTTATCATCATTGAGACCGACCACAATGCCTACACTGAGGCCACAAAAGCTCAGAGGAAGCAGCAGATGGCAGAGGTAATGAGACTGACCTTCGGGGTTTGATAAAAAGGTGTCAGTGTGAAATTGTGTTGAAAGTTTAAACACTTGTAATTACTGTTATGCATTAATGTAAAGATCCAGGCTTTTGGGGGTCCTTCTGACAGAGCCATTTACCAAAGTCCTTGGTTTTAGAGGTTTTCTCATGACTTGGGACTAATACACTGACTGACATGGGTTATTCATTATTTGGCCCCCTCTCTGGCACAGAGTTCTTCAGTCCTTGAGCTACCAAAAGAGTCTGTGATGTGTGTCCAGGATTGCATCTGGGCCCAAAGGAGATAGCTTTCATATTCCCCACCACACTGGCTTCTTCCAGAGTCATTTCCAAGCAAAGGACAGGAATCCCCAACCATGTCAGACTGTCTGGTCTGGAAGAGAGGAGGCAGGTAGACTTAGCAAGATGGGTTAGATAGAAAAATGGCGTTTTCATTTTTATGTTTCTCAGAGCACTGTTCAGCTGTCCCCCACAGCTGATATCAGGTGGGGTTTTGTTGTTGTTTTGATTTAGGAAATGGTGGAAGCAGCCGGGGAGGATGAGCGGGAGCTAGCTGCAGAGATGGCAGCAGCTTTTCTCAACGAAAACCTTCCTGAGTCCATTTTTGGAGCTCCCAAGGCTGGCAATGGGCAGTGGGCCTCTGTGATCCGAGTGATGAATCCTATTCAGGGTAACACATTGGACCTTGTCCAGCTGGAACAGAATGAGGCTGCTTTTAGGTAAGCAGTCCAGAACATCCGGGGTCTGCGAGGCTGGAACAGGAATTCTCAGGGCTGTGACTAATGTCTAACTACTTTTTCTTTATGCAGTGTGGCCGTGTGCAGGTTCTCCAACACTGGTGATGATTGGTATGTGCTGGTGGGCGTGGCCAAAGACCTGATCCTGAACCCTCGATCTGTAGCAGGGGGCTTTGTTTATACCTATAAGCTTGTGAACAATGGGGAAAAACTGGAGTTTTTGCACAAGGTACGAATCAGCCAGTGGTTCTACTGAATCTTAGATCCTATTAGACTCTTTCATTTTTGCTTAAGTTGTGGGTCAGGTCTTTTGTCGACTATTTTGGGAGCCAAGTCACTGATTGTGATCCATCTCTTGGTAGCACATGGAAAATGCTGCCCTGGCTCTCACTGTCCAGTGAGGCTTGGCTGCCTGTGACTCAGTCCCACAGTGAGCCTGTGTTCTAACCACCCACAATGGGGAAGTAGGTGCTCACTGAATTGGCTACTTGTTTACTAGTCTTACTAAGCAGGCAGCTATTTGTGGTCAAAATTCAGCAGTTTAGAGTTACTGTTCTCTGGAGAGTTACTGTTTAACGGTTACAGAGTTTCCCTTCGGAAAGGGAAAAATGTTCCGGAGTTGGATGGTGGTGATGGTTGCATTGTGAATGTACTTAATGTCACTGCATTGCATACTTCAGAATGGTTAAAATGGTAAATTTTATGTTACATACATTTTACCACAATTTTAAAACTCAAGAAAAAGAATTCCTGTTATTTCTACAGTGACAGTACATGAATGTGGCTCCTCTTCTAATCCTCCCACAAGGAGAACGCTATCTATCTATTTATAAAGGCTTTATTTATTTTTAGAGTGAGGGGAAGGGAGGGAAGAAGAGAGGGTGAGGAACATTGATGTGCTAGAGAAACATCAGTTGGCCACCTCTTGCATGCCCCCAGCCAGGGACCTGCCTCTAATGTGTGTGCCCTGAACGGAGTCAACCAGCAACCTTTTGTTTGTGGGACAATGCCCAGCCCACTGAGCCACACCAGTCAGGGCGGGAGAATGTGTTTTAGGAAATAAGATGTCACTAGCTCTCCTTTCCTGTTCCTCACAATCTGCAGTTACTTCTCATACTGAGGCTTCACTATTAGTTAATGGTGCCTGTTGAATTAGCACAGGCTCTGAGTCAGAGTTCATGGAGCACCACAAGTTAAAAGAAAACTTGTGGTGTTGATCCACTGGGCTGGGTGAAATGTGGCACATGGGATCTGTTTACCCAGACATCCTGTTTCATAGAAAGTGTTGTATGTGCAGTTTATTTCCCTGATGAGCAAAAGGTGATCTGTCTGTCTTCCTGACAGATGCCTGTGGAAGGCATTTTGGGTGGAGGAGGTGGGGCTAACAGGTTGTAATTGCTGCATTACCTGCTTTTCCTCTCACAGACTCCGGTGGAAGAGGTCCCTGCTGCGATTGCCCCATTCCAGGGTAGGGTGTTGATCGGTGTGGGGAAGCTTCTTCGGGTCTATGACCTGGGAAAGAAGAAGTTACTCCGAAAATGTGAGAACAAGGTAAATATAGTAGAGAGCCCCAGATATAGTGGCTCTCTACCTAGTGAGGAAGGGGGAGGCAATGGCAAGGTTGCAGGCTGTTACTGTTAAAATCAGGTCTTCATTAGGACCTTGACGTAATCATCCAATTCCACTTCAGAGTTAGGCCCTTGAGACTTGAATGAATAGATGGGTTTCTTGACTTCTTCAGACTAAGACCAGATTTATGTCCTGCTTGCTTCTATAAGGAATTTGTGAGACTTAGGCATGTACTTCCTGTATAGGCATACCTTGTTTTATGGCTTTTTGCATGTATTGCATGTTTTACAAATTGAAGGTTTGTAGTAACCCTGTGTTGAGCAAGTTTGTCCATGCCATTTGTCCAAGAGCATGTACTTACTTTGTGTCTCTGTCACATTTTGGTGATTCTTGCGATACTTCCGACTTTTTCATTATTGTTCTATTACCTCTGATAATCTGTGGTAAGTGAGCTCTGATGTTACTACTGTAATTGTTCAAGGGTCCCGTGAACCACGTCCATAGAAGACAGCCAACTTAATTGACACATTTGTGTTCTGACCACGCCCCTCACTGGCCATTCCCCTGTATGTCTCCTTTTCATTGGGCTTCCCTATTACCTGAGACAAAAAATATTGAAATTAGGCCAGTTCATAAACCTACAATAGCCACTTAAAATGTTCAGGTGAAAGTAAGGGTCACACGTCTCAATTTAAATAAAAAGGTAGCAATGATTAAGCTTAGTAAGGAAGGCATGTTGAAAACCAAGATGGATTAAAAGCTAGGCCCCTTGTGCCAGACATTTACATTGTAAATACAAAGGAAGAGTTCTTCAAGGAAATTCACATTGCTGCTCCAGTGAACAAATGATAAGAAAGCAAAGCAGCCTTATTGCTGATAAGGAGAAAGTTTTAGTGATCTGGGTAGAAGGTCAAACCAGCCGTAATCTTCCCATAAGCCAAAGCCTAATCTAGAGCAAGGCCCTAGCTCTTCAGTTATGTGAAGGATGAGAGGGGTAAGGAAGCTGCAGAAGAAAAAACTGAGGCTGGCACAGGTTGGTTCATGAAGTTTAAGGGAAGAAGTCATCTCTATAACAAAAACTGATGGAGAAACTAGAGCAAGTTATCAAGAAGATCTAGCTAAGATGATTATTGACGGTGGCTACACAACAGATTTTCAGTGTAGGTGAAACAGCCTTATCCTGGAAGAAGATGCCAGCTAAGACTCTCAGAGCTAGATAGAAGTCAGTGCCTGCGGCAGGCCAGGCGGGGGGTTGGTTGGAGGATAAGCCGCTGGCCCGGGCCAAGAATTATTTGAAATTGCTCTGCCTCTTTGTAAATGGGACCAAAAAAGCCTGGACGGCAACACATCCGTTTATAATATGGTTTACTAAACATTTTAAGCCTACCTTGAGACCTACTCCTCAGAAAAGAACATTTCTTTCAAAATATTAACCCTTCATTGACCCAAGAGCCCTGATGGAAGATGAGATTAATGTTTTCGTGCTCGCTAATACAGCGTCCACTCTGCAGCCCTTGGTTCAAGGAGTAGTTTCAGCTTTCACATCTTAAAAATTTTTTTTTAAATTTCAAGTGGTATTATTTAAGAGATAGATTTTGTAAGGCTATTATTGCCATAGGAAGTGATTTCTCTGGTAATCTGGGCAAAGTCAATTAAAAACCTCTTGAAAGGATTCACCATTATAGAAACTAGAGCAAGTTATCAAGATGCCAGTATAGATGCCAGTAAGAACATTTGTTACTCATGGGAAGAGGTCAGAATAGCAACGTTAACGGGATTTTAAGAGAAATGGATTTCAGCTCTTACGGATGACTTTCAGGTGGTTACGATTTCAGTGGAGGAAGTAACTACAGATGTAGACGTAACAAAAGGGTTAGAAATGGAGCCTGAAGACGGGAATGAATTGCTGGAATCTCACAGTAAAACTTTAACAGATGAGGAGTCACTTCTTTATGAATAAGCAAAGAAGGTGGTTTTTTCCTATGGACTCTAGTCTTGGTGAAGATGCTGTGAAATAAGGGACTGATAATATTGCATGGACTTAGTTGTTAAAACAATGTCAGGGTTTGAGAAGATCGACGCCAATTTCTGAAGAAGTTCTTTGGGCAAAATGCTGTCTAACAGTATCTCGTGCTACAGAGAAATGGTTCGTGAAAAGAGTTGATCAGTGTGGCAGACTTCTTTGTCTTAGTTTAAGACCCGCCACGGCCACCCCAGCCCTCAGCAGACACCACCCTGGTCAGTCAGCAGCCATCCACGCACAGCGAGGCCAGGCCCTCCACCAACAAAAAGATTATTGCCGGCTAAAGGCTCAGGTGGTTAGCAGATTTTTGTAATAAATATGTTTAAATCAAGGTATATACATTGCTTTTTAGACATAGTGCTGTTGCGCACTTAATAGACTATAGCATGTAGTGTAAATAACTTTTACTGGTAGAAATTGTTGTCACTCTGTGATACTGTATTAAAACCATTTAGCTCTTCCCCATTTTTTTAGGAATTTGTTGATGACTACTGTTCTTTGCTCTGTGCTGTCTTACAGACTATTTATGTTGCACTCAGGGAAAGCTGGAGTTTCTCTGGGTTCTGAACCTCAAGGTCACATCCATGTTGTCCTTGTTTTTCCAGCATATAGCCAATTACATCTCTGGGATCCAGACTATCGGGCACAGGGTAATAGTGTCTGACGTCCAGGAAAGTTTCATCTGGGTTCGCTACAAGCGTAATGAGAACCAACTCATCATCTTTGCCGATGACACCTACCCCCGGTGGGTCACCACAGCTAGCCTTCTTGATTATGACACTGTGGCTGGGGCAGACAAGTTTGGCAACATTTGTGTGGTGAGTTGATATTTACTTGCATTGTAGTTAAGTGTATGAAAGCTGCCTCAGTTTGTGGTAAACTGAGGTAAAGCCAAGGACCCAGGACTCTGATTTCTAATATGGAAAGTAAAAATGGGTATAGCATTCAGTCCTACTAAGGCTCGCTCTAAAAAGAAAACTTTGTGTTCTCTAAGATTTATCGGGTTTTTAGATTTTTCTCCCTTTTTTTTTTTACCTCCCTCCTCCCCATGGGACATAATTTAATAATAGGCTTGGCTTGAGCTAATGTCTAATATTTGTTTTCACATTAGGATCCGTATGACTTCTCTTGTTTGTATTCTGTGGTCTTTGTTTTTGCTCTTGCTATGTTAGACCCTTGGTCTTGGGTTGATTGTCTTGAGTTCCTCACTCCTCAGACACCAGAACAGGTATAGGGACTTGGGCTCAGGCCTCTGCCAAAGGTGATGCCCCTAGGCTTATTTGCAAGGACCTGGGGCAGACATGTTGCTTGGTGTTTCAGGTGAGTGGGCGCAGGACCTCGCCCAGTGATTGGTCACTTTCTTGTAGGTGAGGCTCCCCCCTAACACCAATGATGAAGTGGATGAGGATCCCACGGGAAACAAAGCTCTGTGGGACCGGGGCTTGCTCAATGGGGCTTCTCAGAAGGTAAGATTCAGAAGGGGGAAACCTGTTTTAATGAATTATCCACATTGCATGTGACTATGCTGTGCTCTTGTGCATACCCATTATCTCATTTTTGTGACTCTGTAGGATAGAAATTTTTACTGAGACATTTTCACAGCATAAAATCTCCTTGGAGAATAGTGAGTTCCTTGACAAAAGATGGTTGCACGGGTTGATTCTCGATATTAACCAGTTCTTTGAGGTGCCCTGGGCCTTGCTCTTTTTCTTTGGGAGTGTACTTCTATTGTAGAGCGTCTCTGGACTTCCAAGGAGATTCCTTTTAGAGAGCAAGCCCAGTGTTTGGTGTTTTGTTTTGTTTTGTTTTGTTTTGTTTTTAATCCATTTCTGTGATTGCTTTTTTAAAAAAAAATTGCAAACTTGATTATTTAACGAAACTTTCCATTTTAGTTGTTTATCAGAAATGACCTAATACAGCATGTTTGTGAGGGCATTAAGTTCTAAATGTGTAGAACATCTTAAAATAAATTTTAGTGATCACTGGGTTTAGAAAGGTGGTGAAAGCTGCCCTTTGGAGGCACTACTTGCTCTTGGGAACGTAAAACAGGCTTCTGAGAGCCCATAACAGTTACTGGTCTGTTTTTGACTTGCAGGCAGAGGTGATCATGAACTATCACGTGGGGGAGACAGTGCTGTCTTTGCAGAAGACCACACTGATCCCTGGAGGCTCTGAATCGCTTGTCTACACTACCTTGTCAGGAGGAATTGGCATCCTTGTTCCCTTCACATCTCATGAGGTGAACTCTCCCACGCTGCTCAGGCTTTTGCCTTCCTGGGGTGGTTTCTTTGGGCTAAGTCTGCCTAAGAGGGCAAATCCATTTGTCCCCACCTGCAACTAGGAGTTTTCCGGAAATTTTATAATGTGACGAAAGTGCCTAGGGAGATAGGAACCCTGATTTCTCTCTCTTCTAGCCATTTGTTTATGTGGCTGATATGGGGATAGGGGTGATCACAAGCCAAAGCCCCAGAACCAAACCCCATAGACTACAAATGCTGGGGTGATAAGGACTGGGTCACTTACTGTCTCCTAGAATCAACTCTGGGACTAGCTAAGTTTAGTTTATGTCATTCCAGCCAAGGAAGCTGGGATCAAGAACTTGATCTTACAAACCACTCTTTACTTACAGTGTTCTCTCCTGTGTTCTGCAAATACAGGGAGGTTTTCTTTCAGGTTTTTGGTGTTTTGTCATAGCAGGAAAACCTGTGGTCGTCAGAGGAGTGATTTAGATATTAAACATCTGTTTACATGGTAGAAATCAATGGCTTCTCTGTTCATTGTGCTTCTGGAGACCATAGACTAGTAGTTGGAATCACTTTTTTCTTTTAGTGACATATCCTTTGTTTTTTCCACCAGGACCATGACTTCTTCCAGCATGTGGAAATGCACCTACGGTCTGAGCATCCCCCTCTTTGTGGAAGAGACCACCTCAGCTTTCGTTCTTATTATTTCCCTGTTAAGGTAGGTCTTCATTGGAAATTAGGGTTGAAGAGGGGAATAGTCAGCCCATTTAACAAAGTCTTTTCTTTGGTTGCTTTACCCCCTCCCTTAAAAAATCAGAATAGTCCCCTTCTCATCTTCATGGTACCCACTAGCCTGTAGGCTCCACCCCTCAGCCAGGTCCCGGGAGGTCATGGATTGTTGGTGGTGTTCTGGGAGCCGGGGTAGAGTAAAACCCGGATAGTTGTGGAGGGATGGAGCTGGCGTTTTGATCAGTTGGTGGTTTCAGAGCAAAAGATGACTAAGCTTTGGGTTCTGGATGAGTTTCTCATGAAACATTGGTCAGAATTAGGCTTTTAAAAGGATGGTTCAATGGCTATTTGGAATGAAGAATAATTATAGTAGGTTAGGAACTTCTCCCTTAAAATTGCTACAATGATATTGCATAGTGATAGAGATTTGCCAAAACTGGAAAAATTAGCCAAAGCAATCTCGAGAAAAAAACAAAGCTGGAGGAATCACACTTCCTCACTTCATGTTCTACTACAAAGTGACAGTAATCTGAACAGCATGGTATTGACAAAAAAACAGAAAGTAGACATACAGCCAATGGAACAGAATTGAAAGCCCACAAATAAACCCACATGTATATGGGCAAATAATTTTTGACAAAGGAGTCAAAATCATACAGTGGAAAAAAGAAAGCTGCTGCAGTTTTTTACTTTTTCAAGCATTGCTTTTTAGTTATGCATAAATTTTGTTCTAATATGCTTTTGTACTGGGTTATTTAAGAATAAAAGTCACATGTCTAGTACAAAAAAACCATAGAACAGTCCTGGGTGAAGAAGCATCCAGGGAGTAGACTGATGGAGACAGTAATGGGAAAGAAGGTCCTTCCCAGGCAAATGACGGCCAGAGAAAGGCTCCCTCTCTTTCGTTAGTCTGAGCTCTGGCTCCAGAGGGTCTGCTCACAGTACTGTTCCTGGCTCTGCACATGGGTCAAGGTCCTTGTCGGAGAATAAAAAGCTTTCCGTGCGGCTGCTGCTTTCGTGTGTGTGCGTGCGTGCGTGTGTGTGTGTGTGTGTGTGTGTGTGTGATTTTCTTTGGGCATCTGACCTTTTTCTTTTGCTCTCATTTTCCCATGCCCTAGAATGTGATTGATGGAGACCTCTGTGAGCAGTTCAACTCCATGGAGCCTAACAAACAAAAGAATGTCTCTGAAGAACTGGACCGAACCCCACCTGAGGTATCCAAGAAGCTTGAGGACATCCGGACTCGCTACGCCTTCTGAGCTCATCTTTTTAATGTGGGACTTGTTAAAGACTCTGTGTTGTTTTTCCCACTACCTGGCTTTGAACCTGTGTGGCAGAAGAAGGGTGGCTGGATAATTAAGACTTCCCCTATAGTGACTGATTTCCCCTAAAATTGGCATTGAGAACCACTGTGCTTCTTCCTGCCTGGTACATAATACATTGCTGCAGGCCCGGTGTGGAATACAATGCCCCCAGATCCCCAAACTTTCCCTGTGTTGATATTTCTGGCTCTTGTGTCTACTTTTGTACACACCTTTAATTTTTAACTGGTTTTCCTGTAAATAAAGTTTTGTACAATGTTATCTTTGTGGGAGGGAGGGAGGGAAGCAAGCCGAGTTGGGGACCAGGTCAGATATAGTAGAATCTTGATTTGTGCCACTCCGGAACCTAACGAGAAATACAAACCTAGTTTTTAAGGCAGCTGGTGTCGGTGCGTCTTTTCTAGGGATGAGACTTCAGGTGGGAGAATTGAGCCTGACTTGGATCAAGAAGAACTGAGTATCCTCCTTCTGGCTTCCTAAAGGGATTTCTGACACTCCTTGGTCCCCCACTTCCAGCATTATGGTTTTTGGCTTTCTTTAGTCCTTTTTGTTATGCAGATGAACTTGGGCTCAATAATAACTCTGGTCATCCACACCTCTTCCCAGTAGATATTTAAAGGAGGGTGGCTGAGGTTTTTTTTAAGATTTTAATTTATTTTTATAAAGGGGGGAAAGGAAGGAGCAAGGAAAGAAGAGAACCATGATATATGAGAGAAATAGCCACAGGTTGCCTCCCGCATACCCCCCCACTAGGGACCTGGCCTACAACTCAAGCCTGTGCCCTGACTGGGAATTGGACCAGCAACCTTTATATTTGCAGGCTAGCATTCAATCCACTGAGCCACCCAGCCAGGGCAACTTTGAAATCTTAAGAGCGAAGGACTTGGGGCATGAATTCTAGCTGGATAGTCTCTTAACAGATGCTTCCTTCTGTAGCTCCTGCAATGATTTTTTTTTTTTTTTGCCATATGACCACTAGGAAGGATCAGTAAGTACCGAAGTAACCCAGAATACTAAGCCCTTGGGGACAAAGTAGCTAAAGGCACATGGATAACTAGGGGCACCTGTCTGCTGCAGACATCTTAGGCAATCTCTGGGGGGCCTTTGGGGTGTGAGGAAGGAGCGTTGGTATCCTGTCACTTAGAAGTGACCCAGTCTCAGATGTTTCTAGCCCACACCTGAGAATTCAACCTTCCTCCTTCCTGGCTGTGTGGGAACCCTTAATCTTCCAGGCAGTCCACCCAGTTTCATGGAACCTGGAAAGATCGGAACTCACTGCTGTTCTTAATACTTCACAGAGTAGATATGTTTTCATGCACAGCCTCTTTGGTTGAGTAGATTGTCTGTGGCTTAGTGTTGGGTTAGAATCAGGGATGGAGGTGATTAGACAAAAGTCTTAGACTCCAAACAGCCCGCAGTCTAGTGCAGAGGGTTCCTCATGCTACCCCTGTGCCCTATGTATCTCTAATCATGACTTTACTTTAGACCAGTTGATAGAGACTCAGATTTTGTTAGGAATTGAATTCCTAAATAACACTTTTTCTCAGCTCACGGATTTGCATAGTACACAGTACTATTAAATGACACGCACGGCCTAAATGTGAGGGTCCAGTTTTCCTATGGCCCCCACCAAAACCCGTGTAATTTAGTCTGTCAGATTGTATGATATTGACATGCAGTAGTGCAAGAAACTGCAAAGATGTTTGAGCAGTAGATCCTTGCTATTACCCTCTTTCCTGAAATACCTTCTACAGCAGTGGGGATTCTGTAAAGGAAAACTTGATTATAGAATCGGGAGATATTGCTGTTTTGTTTTTTTCTTAGAATGATTATCAGGCTCAGGAGGAGGACACTGCATGCCCATGGCAGGTAGCCTTCAGGAACCAGTAAAAATTTAAGAGCTGTGAGAGGAAGGCTTAGTGGCATCAAGAGGATGGGTGCCCCTGCTTCCTATAGGAGGTTGTGATGAGCTTGTTTAAATCCACGGACTGATAGGGAACTGAGGCAGGAACTATGCCTGATTCTTTGATAAGGAAAGTTGTTTAGGGAGCCATATCCACCTGAGCAGAGTGGGGAGGGGAATTTGTGTTCAGGTCCTTTGAAGCCCTTCTGATTTTATGGCTTATAGTACAGATCGTTTTTAATCCTCATCTGAGGATACGTTTATTGAATAAATAAATATATATCTATAAGTATATATGTTTACTTTTTTTTGTGAGGGAGAGAGAAACATTGATCATTTGCTTCCCAAAAATGCCCTGACCAGGGATTGAACCCACAATCTATTTTTTTTTATTTTATTTATTTTTTAAATTGATTATGCTGTTACAGTTGTTCTATTCCCCCCCTTCATTCCCCTCCCCCCTGCCCCCCCATCCCCACCATTACCCTCCTTTAGTTTATGTCCATGTGTCTCAAGTCCTTTAGGTTCTATATTTCCCATGCTATTCTTGCCCCCCCCATCTATTTTCTATCTACTGTCTATGCTACTTATTTTCTGTACCTTCTCCCCCCATCTCCTCCTCCCATTCCCCTGTTGCTAACCCTCCTTGAGATCTTCATTTCTATGTTTCCACTCCTGATCTAGCTGTCCTTGTAGTTTGCTTTTGTTTTAGGTGTGGTTCTTAATAACTGTGAGTTTGTTGTCCTTTCACTGTTCATGTTTTTTTAACTTCTTTTTCTTAGATAAGTCCCTTTAACATTTCATATAATAAGGGCTTGGTGATGATGAACTCCTTGAATTTGATCTTATCTGAGAAGCACCTTATCTGTCCTTCCATTCTAAATGAAAGTTTTGCTGGATAGAGCAATATGGTTGTAGGTCTTTAGATTTCATGACTTGGAATATTTCTTTCCAGCCCCTTCTTGCCTGTAAGGTCTCTTGAGAAATCTGCTGACCGTCTGATGGGGACTCCTTTGTAGGTGATTGTCCCCTTAGCTCTTGCTGCTTCTAGGATTCTCTCCTTCATTTTAATCTTGGCTAATGTAATTATGATGTGCCTTGGTGTGTTTCTTCTTGAGTCCAACTTTTTTGGTACTCTCTGAGCTTCTTGGATTTCTTGGAAGTCTATTTCCTTTGCCAGATTGGGGAAATTTTCTTTTACTATTTGTTCAAATAAGTTTTCCACTGGTGGCTGTGCCTTTCCCCCTTCTGGTACCCCTATAATTCGGATATTGGAGCATTTAAAGATGTCCTGGAGGTTCCTAAGACTCTCCTCATTTCTTTGAATTCTTGCTTCTTGACTCTTTTCTGTTTGGCCATTATTTGCTTTCTTCTGGTCCACTCCATTGATTTGAGTCCCAGTTTCCTTTTCATCGCTATTGGTTTTCTGTGGAATTCCATTCATTTCCCTTAGTTTAGCCTTCATATGTTTCTCTAATTTGTGGCTATAATCAACCAGATCTGTGAGGATCCTGATGACCAGTGTTTTAAACTGTGCGTCTGAGAGTTTTGCTATTTCTTCGTCGCTTAGATTTATCTCTGGGGCTTTGAGGTCTTCTTGCGACATTTTTGGTCTGTTCTGGCCCTTTAAGTGAGAGAAGCGGCGCCTTGGACTCCCAGGTCGCTGGGTGTGGAGGCGTGGTCAGAGCAGGGAAATGGCGGCGCCCACTACCGCCGCGGCCGGTCCAACCGCCCACTCCCTCGCCTGTCCGCTCTCGCGCAAATAGGCGCCCGCAGTCAACACGCAGCACCGCCTCCCCACTGTCTCCTCTGCAGTCACTCACCTGGTGGGTTGCTCGGTCGCTCACTAGGTCCAATCCTGCGTTTGGAACCCGTGCGTCTGGATTTCGCGCCTGGGTCTGTCCGACCGAGTCCTCCTGTGCAACCCCTCACCAGACGCTGGTTTCGCCCCTTACAGGTCAGGCTGAAGAATTTGTTGTTAACGGACTTCCGAAAAGTTCAATTTTCCGTGTTCTGGTTGTGTTTTCTGATGCTAATATTTAGTTGTCCCTAAACTTGGTTGTGTGAGAAGGCACGGCACATCCACCTATACCTCCATCTTGGCGGAAGTCCCCCACAATCTATTTTTTAATATATATATTTTATTGATTATGCCATTACAGTTGTTTTATTTCCCCCTTCATTCCCCTCCACCCTGCACACCTCCTCCCCCACCATTCCTCTCCTTTAGTTTATGACCACATGTCTCAAGTTCTTTAGATTATTTCCCATACTAATCTTGCCCTCCCCCCTATCTATTTTCTACCTGCCATCTATGCTACTTATTCTCTGCACCTTCTCCCCCCTTCTCCTTCTCCTACTCCCCTGTTGCTAACCCTCCATGTGATCTTCATTTCTATGGTTCTGCTCCTGATCTAGCTGTCCTCTTAGTTTGCTTTTGTTTTAGGTGTGGTTCTTAGTAACTGTGAGTTTGCTGTCCTTTCACTGTTTATATTTTTTGTCTTCTTTTTCTTAGGTAAGTCCCTTTAACATTTCATATAATAAGGGCTTGGTGATGATGAACTCCTTGAATTTGATCTTATCTGAGAAGCACTTTATCTGTCCTTCCATTCTAAATGAAGGCTTTGCTGGATAGATCAATCTTGGATGTAGGTCTTTGGATCTCATGATTTGGAATACTTCTTTCCAGCCCCTTCTTGCCTATAAGGTCTCTTTTGAGAAATTTGCTGACAGTCTGATGGGAACTCCTTTGTAGGTGACTGTCCCTTTATCACTTGCTTCTTCTAGAATTCTCTCCTTCATTTTAATCTTGGCTAATGTAATTATGATGTGCCTTGGTGTGTTCCTTCTTGGGTCCAACTTCTTTGGGACTCTCTGAGCTTCCTGGATTTCCTGGAAGTCTATTTTCTTTGCCAGATTCGGGAAGTTGTCCTTTATTATTTGTTCAAATAAGTTTTGCACTCGTGGCTGTTCCTCTTCCCCTTCTGGTACCTCTATAATTTTGACATTGGAGCGTTTAAAGATGTCCTGAAGGTTCCTAAGCCTCTCCTCATTTTTTTAAATTCTTGTTTCGTCATTCTTTTCTGTTTGGTCATTTTTTTCCTCTTTCTGGTCCACTCCTTTCATTTGAATCCCAGTTTCCTTTCCATTATTATTGGTTTCCTGTGCATTTCCATTTATTTCAATTAGTTTAGCCTTCATATGTTCCTCTAATTTGTGACTAAAATCAGCCAGTTTTGTGAGCATCCTGATCACCAGTGTTTTGAACTGTGCATCTGAAAGTTTGGCTATTTCTTCATCGGTTAGATTTATCGGCTCTGGGGCTCTGAGTTGTTCTTGAGCCATGTTTTGATCTGTTCCTGCGTGTTTCATATGAGGAGCAGAGCCTTAGGTGTTCATCAGGGCGGGGTCACCCAGGTTGCTGGTTTGTGACGCTGTATGTGGGGGTGGGATCAGAGAGGGACAATGGCAGTTCCCTCTGCTGCTTTCCACCACTGGGACCTGCACAGTCTGTCTCACTGCTAGCTCCTTCACAGGTTTATCTGCGCGCGAATGTGTGACCATGATCAGCCCTCAGTCCACCGCCTTGCACCCTCGGTGGGTCCTCCCGCTGCTACTCCACACCTGGGATCTGCCTACTCCACACCTGGGATCTGTGCGCCTGGGTCTTGCGCCTCTGGTTGATCCAGTGGATCTTTCCTGCCCGACCCCGCTCTGCTGCTGGCTCCGCCCCTCTTACCGGTTTGGCTGAAAGGTTCGTTGTTGTCAGACTTTCGTATAGTTCAATTTTCTGTGGTTTGGCTGCATTTTTGTTGCTAAAATTTTGTTGTTTTTAAACTTGGTTGTGTGAGGAGGCACAGTGCTTCCACCTACACCTCCATCTTGGCGGAAGTCCCACAATCTTTTGATTTACTGGATGGTTCTCCAACCAATTAAGCTACCTAGCCAGGACATAATATTGAATCTTAATTTTAGATCTTATACCACAACTGGGGATGTGTGGTCATCTGACTACTGTCCTACTGGAGAGCTATAGATAGGCCAGGCAAGGGTGAATTTATGTTGGATGGTCTTCTTGTGCTTCCAAATGTATTACCAGATTCTTTTCTTTTTCGTTCCTCGATAGTCCAAAACCCAGCTAAAATAGGTTGCCCAACCTTACTTTGAACAGCATCTTTGTTCCTAAGAATCCCAATGTTAATAAAAAAAGTCCTGCCATTTAAAATAAATATCATTAAGTTTAAAAAAAAAAAAGTCCAAGTGACCCTGTGTTTTAGGATTATGAATTTTGTATGTTTGCTTTTTTTTTCCCCCCTCAAATTTTTCCTAATTAAGGAAATCATCCTTTAGGACAGTGATTTTTCAACCTGTGTGCCACAAGAATTTTTAAAACATACAATACCTATTTAGTCAGGGGCACTGACCACTTTTCCCTTGGATTGTCAAATTAAAAAATGATAAAAGACAACAATAGCCATTCCATGTGAATGAATTAAAATTATACTATTTTGTGGTCAGATTGGCAAAAACATATTTTTTGGTATGCTGCAGAATTGTAGTAATTAGTTTAAGTGTGCCATGGGATGAGAAAGATTGAAAATCGCTGCTTTCAGCCACCCAGTAAAAATACAGGTTCTTAGGCGCCTCTCCCTGAAGACACTGAAAGAATAAGTCTGGAATGGGGACTTGTAAATAAGTCGAGACAAAACTAACAGGGCCTGAGCTCAGCCAAGTGTGGGCCTCTGACTACATGCATGACATTGGTCAGGCCAGTTGGCTTCTCATCCATCATGTGGACATAAACAGGGCCGATGTGAGAATGAAATGAGAGCATGTACCTGAAGTACCTGGCACTCAGCCCAGCACGTTGCGGGTGCTTGTTGAGCCAACCTGAGCTCTTAATATTTGGGGCTTAGGTCAGCAGAATGAAGTCTTCCATTTTCCTTTAGGAGTCACCGAATAACCATGGATCCAAGTCTCCTTCCCTCCCCACCCCGCACCTACCCTGTGATGTTCTCTTTTCCCTCTTACACTTCGCTTTTCAAGTGTCTGCTGACTCTCACATTCTGTTGATGTAACTACAGGGGCGCTGGGTAAAAGAATGTTTTGAGGGATGTATGGATAGCATTTTAGCTCCATAACTGAGGGGCCTTCTCCAGACTTGCCTCTACTAGAATTCTTATAGCTGGAAAGGTTTCTTTTTTCTTTTTACCCCTGTTTTATTGAGATATAACTGACA